TGGAGAAAAGTATCTTAACTGGGTTTCTTAATTGAATGCCTGGCCTTTCTCAAAGTATTTTTAGAAAAGCCTAAAAAAGAATGATGAGTCACTACCATTCGATCTATTTGTTCTGAATAATATGAAAGTATTTATGCAAATATTTGAAATCAACAACTACAAATAAAATTTTGCTTGGAAAAGGAAAAGAAAAAGAAACAGTTCAAGCAATCAAACATAAATTCTTTAAAATTGAAAATAATTTCTGGAATCGTAATATTATGTGGAAGTGTCATAGGATTTTATTTTATTTTTTCAAAAAATGCAATGTGATATTTCCAAAAATAAATAAATAAATAAATTTCTAATATTGTAATGTTATATAAAAGCGGTTTTTATAAATTCGTACAAAAGAATATAATTGATGACATAATTTATAGTCAATTAAAATTTTAAATGAAAATTACCAAGTTTGTTAGATGCTTCAAAATTTTCAACTTGTTGCTCTATGAAATTCAACACATTAAACACTTGAATTAGTATTAATATTATGTCCTCTAATAAAATGAAATCTCAAAAAAAATATTGTAAATTTTTATAGTAAACATATTAGTTTTTAAAATATTAATGCTTATAAAAATCTATAATTTAAAAAAAAAATCAAAATTTATTCCAGGTTTTCATGAATATTCCATAGAATTATTTGAAAATATATAACCCAATTGATTGTGCATAGTTTTGTGGTGATATATTTATGCAATCTAAAGATAGCTTTCACTTTTTCAAAAAACAAATTTAAATGTGATATATTCTTGAGACAAATTTCGTAATTTTATTTTTATTTTTGTTTCTTTAATTCTGGATAATCTCACTTAAAATTAAAACATATTAATACAAACTAAAATTATAAAGTACATTTAATAAGTTTTTTATTTTCTCATGAATGAGTTAATGAAACAAGTAATAGTTACCATATCCTTTTAAATCACTGACAACCAATATCATTAAATGAGCAATAACTTCATCAGGAATCTGCAATTTCAATTAAAAAAAACATAGTACCAGATCTGTCTTCACCCAAATTTATTAAAATTTATCAATATATTTATAGAATCTTAGTAATGTAAAATAATAAATTTAAATTTAAAAACATTATTATCAGTATAACAAAATAAACTAAGAACAAGAGTACACAATTCAGCTCATGTTTAAAAACGTTAAATTAAAACTTTTAAAAATGTAATTAGAGCATTTTCTAGAGAAGAATTATTGTAACATTTATCAACCAAAACAAAAACCAAAAACATTTAAACTTCTAAATGTGTAGTTTTCAGTTTGAGTACTAAAAAGAGGCTTAATAAAGTTATACTGTTGTGAATTTTATCATTTAAAAAATTTAGGAAACTACTTCATCAAGAAATGTTTATTTTAAATGATATATATAGATATTTTTTGGAACTGTAGTTAGTATGTATGGGAATTGTGTGTGTGTGAGAGTACAGGTAGATTATTATCAAGAGCATATTTGGCACGCATTCCAAGTTGTCCTTTCCATGAATAATTGTGATATGGGTTAGCATTAGAAATTGGTGTGGGTGATGGAATTGGTATTGGTGGTGAGTCGTCAATCAAAGGCAAATCCCTTACAGCCTCGACGCATGTACAAGAATCATTTGTAGATGTTTGTGAAGAAGGTGTTGTTGGAGAACTCACTCGAAGATTTCTATCCTCTATTCAATACACACCATGAAGACTTTATTTTAAGTATTGTGTGATAAACTTGCTATGTTAAAGATAAATCTAAAAATCATGTAAAATTAAATGTGTAAGATCTCAAAAAAATTAAAATCATTGAAATAATGATTCTATCTATCTATCTATCTATCTATCTATCTATACATACATACATACATACATACATACATACATACCAGAAATAGCATATTCAATTGCAAAATGAATCACAAGATTGGCATGTATATGCACTAATCCAAAGTTTTCTTCCAACTGCTTGCATAGGATGGTCTTTCCTATCAACTCAATTTTGTTTTCACAAAATTATAATTAAGATTAATGTCATGTACTTTATTTTATTGGATAAATAAAACTACCATTAAATATATATTTATAAAAATAAAATTAGAGAAGATTGAATTCAAATGTAAGAATTGGATGACAAATGACAACCTGAGTATGGAGCCCCAACAATAGCCAACATGAGACTAAATCTTATCAAACTAACAAAGTGATGGTCTTTGAAATCCTTCGAATGCAAATGAATTTTGTGAAGATGTGCTCCTAAGAATGAATTCCTCCCAATGGGACCAAATGTTATGGGACTTGCCCAATCTTCTACTTCCCTCCAATATTGATCTGCTGCCATCTATATTGCATGCAAATTCATTCCCAGTGATTAAAATCAATAGCAAAAAATAATACTTTGGTTGATTGACATTTAATTTTTTATTTTATTTTAAAATCATGTACATATATACATATACATTCATGGTAATGGATGAATGGAATAGGACTACCTTTGCATACATTATATCATTTGCATTAGCACAATTGATACAATGTGGCGGAGGCAATATTGGTAAAGCATCCATAACATACAATAAACTCCATTCTTTCCATTCTGTTCTAGGAACAAAGATCCCAATGTTCACTTTGTAGTCTCCTGCTTTTTCACCAATTTCAAAAATCTACAAAAAGAATTAAATCAAAGAAGAATAAGAAATTATATCAGATTTGGATCACAGTTTGTATGAAATAATAATAATAATAATAATAATAATAATAAAGTGAAGTACTAAAATACTTAAAATAAAAGTAAGGTCAAGGAATCTGATATTTCATAGTATCAGATAGCAACTAATGCTTAGTCCTTTCTTATACCCTGTAAATTTAATGTTCTGATAGATAAAAATTTAAACTGAAATTAAAAAAAAAAAAAAAAAAAAAAAAAAAAAAAAGTTTGATAGCAACTTGTGAGATAGCACTATTGCGAGCAACTTTTTCTTGAACATTTTGTTCATTGTCTTCTTCATTTTTTCTTTTCTACAAAATACAATCAAAATTTGCAATATGTGTAATAGATCTAGGATGTTGAAGTTATATATATATATATATATGAATCATTTATTTTTCAAAAAAATTGTTTAAAATGTGTAGGATTTATTTGATTACTATTTAAAGTATTATTAGAAATACAATGATTTCATGTGCTTGTGAATTCAAAATATTTAATGAAAAATCCATGAAAATTAAATGTATTTTATTGAGAGAATTGTTAGTAGAGGTGCCTGCCATATATCAAGGATGTGCAGAACTTCATCTTTATAATTTTGGTGCATTAAAGTCAAAATCATTCTGTCACGTTCTACAGATAAAATCCATTCTAATTCTCTTTTTTCGTTTAATTGTCTTTGTATACTTGCATCATTTCTTACAGATAGTTCCAACTCTGATTGAGAAACCATATTTTCTTCTTCTTGTTGTTGTTTTGAAATCACACCAAAAGCGTTTGAAAAATCATAATTGAATGACTGGTTTTTGTCATGTTGTGTACTTTCTGTTTCCTTTTTATTATTTTTCAGTAAGAATTCCTGCAAGATTAATTAAAAATACCTGACTTGGCTCATTACTTTTATAAATTTTATAAGTAATTTTTAAGTATGAAAATTATTGAATAAATCGACTTTTCAATTGTATTTACAAACGCTCTTTTTAATTTTTTTAATTCGTTATTTTTTCCATAAATAATTTCATGCCTTGTGGCTTATATACATAATGGCTTATGAAGTATCTGATTTTTTCAATAAACCTTTCAATGAACTTGCAGCTTGTAAGTAAAGTACTTAATGCACGCATCAAAATAGCATACATGGAAGCAAAGTATTTTTTTACATCTACTTCACACACATATATATATGAAGTTTTTAAAAAATAATATTTAAAATAGAATTTATTATCAAAATTAAATTGAGGAAAAAACCTAGACTTACAAAGATCTCCTTTTGAAAAATACAAATATATCTCATAACATTGTTCCAAACATTTTTAACAACCACACAATTCACTTAATAAACCAGCAGAAAGTCATTCAATACATAACTAAAAGCAATGGATTTGAATGTTTTGAGGCACTCACTGCTCTTCTTTCTTGAATTTCTTGAAACTTTGTTTCAGCTTCCTTCTTCAAACGAGCTTTCACACCATTTAAGTACCTTTTTGATTCCTAAAAGAAAAAAACCCTGCAATGATTCTCTAAAAAAAATAAAAAATAAAAAATTTCAAAACAACTCAACAAGTCACTTAGTTAGAATTCAGTCATTCAAGGAATTATGTTAAGGTAATAGTCATTCTTTTACTTATTAGAATCAGCCAATCAATGAATTTCAAGGACAAACATCAATTATTATTATTATTATTATTATGATTTATAGAGAGAGGAATGTTAGATAGACCCAAGCTTTTACTAAATTGATCCACCCATCCTACAATTACATCAATTACATCTAGATTCATTTCTCCAAAACCAGTGAAAACCAACCACATTCATTATGATTACCATATTCTTCATTATGTGTAAATTCAAACAATAAATTGATGTAAACAATAAATTTAGTAAAAACTTGGGTCTATTTGACATTCTCTTTTATATATACATATATATACACATTTATATATGCAAACAAACACACCCACCTAAAGTTTGTTACAAAATGATAATGACATATATACACACACATACATCTAAAGCCTGCAACAAAAGCACAACGAGTTGAAATCACTCATCTGCAAGAGAGCATAGGAGAGACACCACAGTGAGTAGAGATTAATGAAGTCTCACTTGTCTCAAGGCAATGTGATCAACAGCAGGAAGTGGTGGTGGTGGTGGAAGAGGAGGAGGATGAGTGTCTGAGCCAAGCATCACAAAACCAGACTCCCATGTCTCCTCTTGCTCAGCCAAGGCTCCCTCACTTGGTTGTAAGGCCAGGCCATGCTTGGCCTCAAACTCTGCCAATGCTACTTGTGTCTGCTTATCCTCAATGTAGGCATTGTTCATTTTCCTTGTCAAGCTCTGCACACATACACTCCCAGCACCCACACAGATAACTTGAACATTTTGCATCTCTCTCTCATGCTTGACATATAGAGGAACTACACCAGACGGGATCTGTGGAGTGTCTGGATTCTACTGCCTAAGTTAGGGTATGACACATACGTGTTGGATGCCTGAGATGTCCACAACTTGCTCTGCATTGAGTAGAGTATGCCATGCTTTCTGCACATGGAATGGTGGTTCATGTGGAGATGAGGCAATGTGGTGGGGTCATGAAGAGACTCAGAAAGAAAGCACAGTGGGGTGCATCACAGTCCTGTGTGCAGTTGGTGAAAACCAGATGGCATACAGATTCCAAGAGTTGATTGACTGGATTCAATCCAGGTTTGAAATGTGGGGTTGCCTACCAGGTGGGCTTCATGGGTAGCTTTGGCAAGTCCCTCCTCTCTTAGAGAGAATTCCAGTTGCTTGTGGAAAAGCTGTGAAGCAGATGCACATCCAAGGACAGATAAATAATGAGATGCAGGAGAGGTAACAACTGGAAAGTGTTCTCTAAACATATCCCGAGCAATCAAACAAGGATTTAAAAACCTACAACCAGAATCAGAGTTTATGAAGGAATGAGAGGAGAAAATTTTGTTTTGAGGGAAAGAACACTAGGGGTTCATTGCGACCTCAAAAACTTCATCCCGCAGCTGTGCTCTGTCAACAATTCCATACTTGTACATGTTGGCTTTCCACTCCTTGTGTGTTCTAGCCTGGAATATGAAACACAATTTGTGCTTACAGTTTAGGGTTAACAAACATCACCAAAAGTAGCATTTGGTGACCACAGATGTGTATTTAAATTACTTAATCAAGAGTTGAGCAGCTTCTAGAAGACTCTTGAAGCAGGACTCGAGAATTTGCTTCTTCAGAACCTAGTGTCTCAAGACAGAAGCACCGATTTTTTTAACTATTTCTAAAGCCTCATTAATACGACCCAAAAATACGAATTGAAATAGAATGCATGAGTAGTAGTGGGAATGTCTGCATGCGGCAAATTCTTCTGTTGAAACTGACTCATGGCTATTCTGAACAGTTTTTCTTAACCAAACAAGCTTGGTCGTAACGTCAAATTTGACAGATTGATAGTGGGAAACATCATTCATAGACGATGAGTTCTCGTAAAAGAAAAAAATAATTAGAGATACGAATAATAATAATAGTAATAATAATAATAATAACATATGTTGAGATTCGTAGGATTATCACATTACAAATTCCTCCGATTTTATTTATTTATTTATTTTTGTCTTCTTTTTTGGGAATCATAACACTTTACATCTCACCTGAATCGCCCCTTCGTCCCTGAATTTAGCCAAGAGCTTGCGCTCGACCATTTGCATTCGCGACAATTGTTGTGGTGGCGGCCCCAATGTTTGCCATGGCGATTTCAGTTCTTTCAGCGACATCTTGCTCAATTTTCACTCTCCCTTCAATAGGAACGCTGTAGCAATGCATTCACCGTGGTCTTAACTCGTGCACCAGATTTTCACATGAATCAACAGCATTCACTAGCAATTCCAAACTTGTAAACTAGTAGCTGCCATTTCACAAGTTTTAACAAAATAATTTGAAGTCCCCACCTTCATTATGTAAAATTAGGGTTTGCAGCAAAAGAAAGACAAATAGATGAATAGAGAATGTCGGGACTGGGATTATTGAAGTCAGAAAAGCCTTCACCTGCTCCCTTTGAAAAGCAATTTACATGCGAAAGCGTCAACCAATCCAGCGCTGCAACCTACACAATGCGAGCTTGGAGCTACTGGTGCTTGGGATAACCTACAGGGTGGATAAAAGGCATTCCCACACGGACAGCTTGTGTACAAAGGATGCAACGAACCAGGCCGCCTAATTTATCATGGCAGGAAAATCAGAGGTGGAAACATTCTTGTCTCTCTACCTTAATAATTCATGGTTCCATCCGGGCAACACCGTCACCGAAGATTATTCTTCAATAACAAACACATGGCACACAAGAATAAACATTCTTAAAATATAGGTATCTGTTTCACGGCTGATCGTCCTGCAACGGATTAGACAAAATAATTAGATTCCCAGAGTTCTAGCCGCTTCGTCGATAGCATGCAAAACCAAACCTCGCCATGGAATATATCCCAAGTAATGAGCCACCTCAGAGTGGTCACCAACCGACTCTAGCAATGAGACTTGACCTCATCTCCCGAGTGCCCCTGGAGCCGAGGACTGGTGAATGCCTAGAATAGAGCTCCTTGTCTCCTTGAAAATGGCGCTTCACTTATATATGGAAATTGACCAATCACAAGCACATTGAGCTCACCAATAACACAACTTGACCTGGTACGCTCAATCTCGCGACGGAAACGATTGGCAAGACCATAGAAGAGAAAAACCAAGTTGCTTCATTCCACTGTCACTAACTACTGAAACGTCAGGAACATACAATTACAATACTCAGTATTCTGCTTCAGCGATACATATCCAGTGGCGTAGGACGTCTCACGAAATATACTCAACTCAAACTTATCTACGCAGAACCAAACCATCACAACTGAAACAACAAATGGTAAACTGGTCAAAAATCCGTAAACAACGAAAAAAAAAAAAAATCAAATTATAACATCCGAACATGCATCCATCGTAAAGGATGATTCGGGGGCTAGGGCTAAGACGACGCACTCTGTGATTTTACGTCACAGTTCACACTCCGCAGGAAATCTAACCTGTGATGGAAATATATCTTATCCACTCAGCCATAGTCAACAGGACTATGTATGCATTTTACCCATAATCACCTTTCATTTCACAAAACGGCGCCAACATTCCGACGAGAAATGCTGTCCGACTCTACAAACAACCCTGGACCTGTTAACAAATAATGTGAATGGCACTGAATTATATCAGCCAGTCGTATGCGTCCAGATATCAGCTATTTTTACAAACAAAAGCTTTCTGCAACATGGACCTCTAATTGATCTACGCTAGCAGGCCTAATTCGGTGGCCACAAACGTTAGCAATCGAAGTTCAATAAGCCGAGCTAAGAGACGTGCTGAAAAAAGCAAAAGATGTGTCGCACTGCTCTAGAAACACTTCCTGTGCACAATTGATGGACCTGACTCATCGTACTCCGACTTCGCAATCCACATCTGCACCACAACAAGTAAACGGATTAAATTCCAGAAAGATTACAGCCTCGACAAACGCGAGCATTTGAAGAAACAAAGACATGAAGACATAAAAAAAAACACGAAATGCAACTCAGACACGAGTCAAATACATTACCTGTTGGAAGGTACTGAGAGATGCCAAAATAGACCCTCCTATCCATACACTGTACTTCCTCTCTGGCGGCGCCACCACCTTTATCTTCATGCTCGATGGTGCCAATGCTGTGATCTCCTTGCTCATGCGATCCGCAATCCCTGGGAACATCGTCGACCCTCCCGACAACACGATGTTCCCGTACAAGTCCTTTCGGATATCCACATCGCACTTCATGATCGAGTTGTATGTCGTCTCGTGAATTCCCGCTGCTTCCATCCCGATCAACGACGGGTTGAACAACACCTCCGGACACCTGAACCGCTCCGCCCCGATCGTGATCACCTGCCCGTCCGGCAACTCGTAGCTCTTCTCCAGCGACGAGCTGCTCCGTGCTGTGTCCAGCTCCTGCTCGAAATCGATCGCCACGTACGCCAGCTTCTCCTTCATGTCCCGCACAATCTCGCGCTCCGCGGTCGTCGTAAACGAGTAACCACGCTCCGTCAGAATCTTCGTCAGGGCGTCCGTCAAATCACGACCCGCCAAGTCTAATCGCAATATGGCGTGAGGCAGTGCGTAACCCTCGTAGATTGGCACCGTGTGGGTCACACCATCTCCACTGTCCAGCACGATACCTGCATTGCATTGCATTCATCACCACAACTGCTCTCAGTTTCTTACCCCGACCCACAAACCTTCCCATGTCAAACACCCCACCTCTCCACACACCTCCACCACTTTCGCAACCAACGCACATGCTGCATTCACCTCACCCCTTCTCCCATCACTCACCGGTCGTTCGTCCACTGGCATATAGTGACAGCACTGCCTGAATGGCCACGTACATCGCCGGCACGTTGAACGTCTCGAACATGATCTGCGTCATCTTCTCCCTGTTCGCCTTCGGGTTCAGCGGAGCCTCCGTCAGCAGCACCGGGTGCTCCTCTGGTGCCACACGCAGCTCGTTGTAGAACGTGTGGTGCCAGATCTTCTCCATGTCATCCCAGTTCGTCACCACACCGTGCTCGATGGGGTACTTCAGAGTCAGGATGCCCCTCTTCGATTGCGCCTCGTCGCCCACATACGCGTCCTTCTGTCCCATACCGACCATCACTCCAGTGTGCCTGGGGCGCCCAACAATGCTGGGGAAAACAGCGCGGGGAGCATCGTCTCCAGCGAAACCAGCCTGCGTTCAATTCACCAAAATTAAACACAGTTTCGAGAGGATTGATCATAAATTAGTCTACATCCAATGTCTGCCCATTATAAATAAAGATGCAAAAGAGATAAATGCGACATTAACCATTCATGCCTCTCATTAACTTTCTAATTCACGTTGCACATATTTAAATGTGTAGCAGCGCTGGTAGAATATTTTTCAGCAGAAGCTCAAGATTATAGAATCCTTGAATCCAATGAACCAAGTTCGGAAAAGTTAATCTCTGGGTTTTAGAAGAGTGACCTCACCTTGACCATTCCAGTTCCATTGTCGCACACCAAGGGCTGTACTTCCTCACCGTCAGCCATTTCTTAATACCGACCTGCCCAACCATTTCAGAAGATTTTAGTTCTAAGGAGCAGTAAATTTTCGTCGTAAAACATGTCTCGCAATCAGGACAGTACAGAACGCCCTCCATACTGTATAGAAGTCTTCGGAAATAGCGATTAGAAGAAATGGAGGATTCAGAAAACCTGGCACTTCATATGCTATACTGTTTAAAATCCACAGGAAGTCAAGTTCTTACTATCAAATTACTTAAATTTTTCTGAAAAATCTGCAGGCAATACTCAATCGAATTGAACTGAGCGAGCGGACAAGCGATCAGCTGATGTCAAAATACATTGAGATTAATTCAGAATTTAAAGATTATGTAGAACGATTTCGCAGAGAACTAAACAATCACTATCAATCAAATTTTCAAGCTCTATTTCGACAGTTCAGGAGACGGCAAAAATTCAGTCGATGAGTTTAATTTGTTCTACTTCAGCGATCGTGTACCCGATTGCATGTAAGAACTGGCCAATCGCAATAGAAGAGAATCCAGCCTATTGTTGAACACGAGTCCGGATCCACAATCGCCCGATCCGTACCTAACTCATGCACCACTGCTAATTAAATCATCACCATTGAACTATATGTTAATTATAAAACGCCATCGCCACCACAACCCCGGAGCAACATCTTGCGGTACAAGATCTAATCCCCCTCGCACAAGAAACTACTAAATCAGTGGCCTCTAAACGACACCAGAGCTCGTGCATCGCACATGTAAACGCTCTAAACGCATGCAAAACACACAACCTATGCATCCGATTAAATCTTACACTCCTCCAACACAATGAAACAAACAAACAAAAAAAAAAAAACGACGATCGCGTCGGAAGATGGACATCAGCCAGCAATAAAAATAACAGAAAAATAAATAAATAAATAAATAAATAAATAAACCCTCCTTCCTATACTCAGTCCTGGCCAACACTTGAAAGTGCTCTAACCTGAGAAGAGACGGCGACGATGAAGCAGAGGCGACAGCAGCGAAGGATAGAAGCAGACTAAGCCTAGACGAGACCCTCAGCGCTGCTGCTGCTCTACAACGAGCCTGCGCATGCAAATCGCCTCTCAGGAATGCCGCCCGAACACAGAAAGCAGAGCAACAAACAGCAAACAGCAACAATGGCCCAATCACGAAGCCACGCGGTGCACAAAAGGAGCCTGCGAGACGGGTCGATCATCATCTGCTCCGGAACGGGTTAGCCCGGGCCGGGTCAGATGGAGAGGGTGGGACCCGCGCAGAAGGCACTGGAAAAGGAACCTTGTGCGAATGAGACAAAGATGGCGACGGAACGGGCGGCAGAACAGGGAACGGGTCGCCGTGTCAAGCAGACCCGGTTTGTGTCTGCGACTTCGTGACTGCCACCCGCTCTGTGGTTTTTTCTCACTTCGTATATTATTCGTACAACGTTTTGTCTCGAATCCACGTGGGACTTACTTACTTGCCACCTCTTCCTCCCTGCGTTTTGTTGGGCTGGTCAGGGTGGGTCCACCCGATCACCCGTGTTGACCCGTCAGACACTGAGAGGGGTTCGATCTATTTCCGCGCATGGAAACGATGATCCCATGACCACGTATCACCTATGACCGGCTCTTCTCCTATCACCATGTGGCATTCTCTGATTTAACTGAGTGCCCACTTTTTCTTCTTTTTTTTTTTTTTTTTTTTTTGGAGGAAATACAATGAGCTCGTCATGCATGCTGACTTTGTTGACTGTCATTATTGACGATGGTTTTTTTTTTTTTTTCTGAAGAAATTGTATTTTGTGTTTATTTTTCAAACATTTTAATGTAATTTTGAGTTTCAAAATTCTTGTGTTTCAGCTTTTGATCCACGTATTCCAATGGCATGCACCCAACACTCAACTAATAGTACACACTTTACTTACAATATTTGACAGTGAATCCCTGTAGAGACTCATAAATTATGATTTCTGTTTTATTTTTGTTTTATTATACTTTTGATAAATTGTAGAGAGCAATAATTTTATGTTCATAGTGTTACCCTACCATTAATTATCAAAAGAATATGATCATGAAATATACACGTAATTCTTTCTTTTGTTAACAGTTTCACTTGATATGAAATATCATTGATTTGTTTGTGAGTTAATAAGCTTGTGATAATTTTTAGTCATTTCTAGCTTCTTTATTGCATAAACTTTAATACTATGCAATTATTTATCATGTTTTTTTTGAAGTACATCCATATCCAAATACATCCTTGCACTCACACTACATGAAGGTCACTTCAACATTGTTATAAAAATTAAACCTAGGTTAATTCAATTGTATTTTATCCATATCTATATATATATATATATATATATATATACGCTAAAAATAATTTTAATTAAACTCACTCGAATATTCATTTATAAATGGAAATTTTTAATATATTCAAATCCCTTTTGAAGTTTCATGTAATAAATAAAACAAATCTTGTGGAACTAAAACATAGATAAAATTCAAACTTAATTCATTAAAAGAAAATTATCAATCTATAAATAAAATTTTAGTACATAAGAATGTAATGATTTAGATGTTTAAGCCATAGAATTAAATGGGTTGAGAGGGAGGGAGGGAGGGAGGGGGCAAGAGCAGGAAGTGTTCAAGGGCATGGAAAGTGGGTGGGAGCAGGGAACAGGGAACAGGGCAGGAAAGGAAAGGAAAATGGGAAGGGGTCCGGAGAGTGTGGCTGGCACCGTTGACACTCTCAACGCACCCCCCCCCCCACATGCACACCCTCAGCACCGCATGCCATATATATATATATATATGTAATGCAGGGAAGGGAAAGGAAGGGGAGGGGGGGGACCCATTTATTCATTTATTCATTCCATAACCCAATCACCCCAATTAACCCCCTTTTTTTCTTTAGTAGTTAATTAAATACGCCATGAATGAATGAATGAGCCTAAGTATCACCCTACATACTTATCCTCCGTTGAATGGATCCATGCTGCCTCCCACACCAGTCAAGTCAAGCCAAGCCAAGCAACACCCAACCCAGCACACAGTCTACCTCCGGGACCACATTCAGAGAGCTCCCAGGACCACGTGACGTCGAAACACACTGCTCAAAGAAACACCAACTTTTCCAGTTAAAAAAAACATAAAAGTAAAAATAAAACACACACACACACACACACTTGGATGGGCTTTTGCCTGAAGCTGGCAAAACTCATTTGTTTGTGCATCGGTGTGACTTTGTCTTTCTCCGAGGTTGGATCGTGTGTGTGTGTGGGTGTGTGTGTGTGATGTGGGAGCTGTGTTTTTATCTGATCGGCGAAATGTGTGCGAGAGAGAAAAGGTGGTGACAGGGGGGTGGAAACTTTCAAAGGAGTTGGAGAGATCATTCGTTGTTGTAGACTTTATCTCCTCCGAGTTTACTCTCTCCTGTCCAGTTGTTGTTACCATGAGTTCGTAGTTGACACGCGAGCTCGCCGTGAACAGGAAAAGACTACCGTGTGGTTGCGTAATCACGCCTCCATCGAGATTTTAACTATGATTTATTCTCGTGTGTTGTGATCATGCACAGCCCGTGGCGAGAAATGGGTCCCCAGGGCCAGTTTGACAAATGGATGTCCTAGATGAAAGATACGTGCGTTGCGTTTCGTTTGTTGAACACACCGAGGAAGACTGATCCAAGTCGTGAGTCAAATCTGTGAATAATGCCGAGTCCAGTAGCTTGGATAGCTGGATGCCAGGTTGGAGAGTTTTGGCCTTGATCTCCGACACAATCACTGTTCTGTGCAGATCGCGCGTTACAAGCCAGAGCCTGGATCAAGGCCATGTCCACGGAGAATTGGACAACATGCTTGGAGCCCAAGTTTGAGAATTCCACGGAAAAGGTCTTTTGACAGGAAGACTACAGAGTGACGAAGCATCGACAAGGGGTATGACGCAAATGCGTTGGTGACAGAGGGGAACTTTGTTTGAATTGTTAGGCTGATTTTAATAGCAAAGCAAAGGTGGACTGGGGAAGGTTGTTGATTTCAAGAGTGTTATGCGATGGCCAACACGGGCTAGATAATAATCTCACGGTGGTAACACTGCTACCTTCAGCGATTTCTGCCCTCTACCTTGTGTACGGGACCAGTCGTTGTAGCTCCATCATCCTGGAGAATCTGACAAAGCCAAGTGAAGGTTAACGACCCTGTCAAATCTCGGAAGACCTTGACGCTTCCATCACACTCAACTCGAATGGAATGCCATGGAACAGTTTTAGGCAGAGGGTGGTTTTGAAGCTTTCGCAATCACAATAGACAGCTGACCAATGGAACATGTCAACCCTCATGCTGTGAGTGGGATGTCCTCAAGTTCCACTGCGAGTGATAAAGGACGATCACAACCTACCAACTCTCACCCTCACTTGCAGCATCGGATTGCCACTAGTTTCCTGGAGCTGATCTGCACGTGAGGGCACCATTCAGGGTCATATTTCTCCAATAATGTGCTCTGGCTCATTTCCTTACAAGCACAGTCTGCAGTGTCTGGTTCGATCGCTTGTTGCTTGGTTACAACTGTATTCATTTTTGTTTCCGCTTTCACTGTGAGTTTAATGGTGCCTTCCAACTGATTAGACGATTCGCCAATCTCACTTCTAAATTAATATCATTACCGGGCCGAGCTGAAAAGTAGCAAATTGCGATTTGTAATTTGTGCTAGCAACACCATGGAATAGGCTCCCGCCTGGAGTTGAGGACCAAAAAGGTGATAGTTCGCGTGTTGCTTCCATACATACACCGATCTTCGTATTAATCGAGTAGCATTGGAGAATGGTTACTAGGACGAAGACACTGATAAAACATTTGCGTATCGTCATAAATAGTACCCGAAAGAAATCAGAACCAAGGGTCAATAGCAGAATGCAATAGGCCCACGACATCAAACATTGTTGTGGGGTTTAGGGGGAGAAAAAACAATTATGCTGACGAATACACCTTTCTGGTCACGAATATACACATATTGTAGGTACGATTGAAGAGTTGGAACACACTCAGAAGTTCCATGCCGTATGCGAGCATTATCGTGTCCTATATAGTACCCTTGACTCTACAAAAAGAACTAACCCAAACTAAATCTTGGCCAATGCTACGGACATGCACCACATTGAGCGAAACCTGTTAAGATAAGCTGCCCAAGAAGAAGCCTCATACAGCGATGCTCACCAATCCAGTGTTCAAAACATTTCACGCAAACAATTCTCATCAGACTATTTCTTACTGACTAGCTATTTCTCCGACAATGCCATCCTCTGATCAAACTCAGCGCACGTACTGTCCATAAAGAGCTGCACGGTGATAAAAAAAGACTCCATCACCACGCGTCTAAAAGCATTTCCGATGCACAATTGATGGGCCGGATTCGTCGTACTCCGACTTCGCGATCCACATCTGCAAAAACCCCAACACGTCAAAATGCAGATAAAATGCAAAAAAGTAATATAAAAATCAGATTATGCATGCAACTAAGCAACTGTAATATAAAAGAAATACCTGTTGGAAGGTACTGAGAGATGCCAAAATAGACCCTCCTATCCATACACTGTACTTCCTCTCTGGCGGCGCCACCACCTTTATCTTCATGCTCGATGGTGCCAATGCTGTGATCTCCTTGCTCATGCGATCCGCAATCCCTGGGAACATCGTCGACCCTCCCGACAACACGATGTTCCCGTACAAGTCCTTTCGGATATCCACATCGCACTTCATGATCGAGTTGTATGTCGTCTCGTGAATTCCCGCTGCTTCCATCCCGATCAACGACGGGTTGAACAACACCTCCGGACACCTGAACCGCTCCGCCCCGATCGTGATCACCTGCCCGTCCGGCAACTCGTAGCTCTTCTCCAGCGACGAGCTGCTCCGTGCTGTGTCCAGCTCCTGCTCGAAATCGATCGCCACGTACGCCAGCTTCTCCTTCATGTCCCGCACAATCTCGCGCTCCGCGGTCGTCGTAAACGAGTAACCACGCTCCGTCAGAATTTTCATCAGGGCGTCCGTCAAATCACGACCCGCCAAGTCTAATCGCAATATGGCGTGAGGCAGTGCGTAACCCTCGTAGATTGGCACCGTGTGGGTCACACCATCTCCACTGTCCAGCACGATACCTGCATTGCATTGCATTCATCACCACAACTGCTCTCAGTTTCTTACCCCGACCCACAAACCTTCCCATGTCAAACACCCCACCTCTCCACACACCTCCACCACTTTCGCAACCAACGCACATGCTGCATTCACCTCACCCCTTCTCCCATCACTCACCGGTCGTTCGTCCACTGGCATATAGTGACAGCACTGCCTGAATGGCCACGTACATCGCCGGCACGTTGAACGTCTCGAACATGATCTGCGTCATCTTCTCCCTGTTCGCCTTCGGGTTCAGCGGAGCCTCCGTCAGCAGCACCGGGTGCTCCTCTGGTGCCACACGCAGCTCGTTGTAGAACGTGTGGTGCCAGATCTTCTCCATGTCATCCCAGTTCGTCACCACACCGTGCTCGATGGGGTACTTCAGAGTCAGGATGCCCCTCTTCGATTGCGCCTCGTCGCCCACATACGCGTCCTTCTGTCCCATACCGACCATCACTCCAGTGTGCCTGGGGCGCCCAACAATGCTGGGGAAAACAGCGCGGGGAGCATCGTCTCCAGCGAAACCAGCCTGCGTTCAATTCACCACAATTAAACACGGTTTCGTTCTGGACAGCACAACTGAAGTCACTTGAATAGTATTATCATGAACGCCATTATAGCATGAATTGTCACTGCATTATTCACTATGAATATAAGTTTTTACGAGGGGTTGCATGTGGTATATCAACAATGCACAATTCCAAGTCTTTTCAGGAGGTCGATGAGAAATGCGACAGACAAGACATTGTGAATATAATCCTCGACAGTTTCAACGGAGAACTAGCAAAGTTCATGGAGTGGGTACCTTGACCATTCCTGATCCATTGTCGCACACCAAAGGTTGAACATCCTCACCGTCAGCCATGCCTTAATATTATCCTGCACACGAAGATAAGATTCAGGTTTAGCTCTTATGTAATGGATGTTTCGGTGCTTTGAGCCATTAGGTCAAGAAACTACGTAGCCATGCACGTGAAATTTGCGGTGAATCTTTCCATAAAACTTGTGAATTAGCTGACAGATCGTTCCATAAATATCACAATCCTTAGCACCGTACCAAATGATCATGAACGCATCAGAAAGACATTGATAGTGACACATGTTGCGAAGCACTAAACATTGAAGCAGAGATGCACTCTTAGACGGAGTAGAACCTAATTGCACGAGTCTATAAGCTACAGTCCATGAGAACATATTTTCAGTAGCTTCTGTCGTGAAAGGGGCCCAATAAGCAAGACCATGCTTCTCTTAAAAATCGACACAAATGCTCAGCAGCGGTAGGACAAACCCACGATCCGTTGTTTTCTCAGTGACTGACCATCCTGAACAACGCCCTGGATGTTATGATCAAACTTCTACCAGTGTGGTTGGATTGCAAATCCAGAAACAAACTCGCAAAGAAAAAAGAAAAAAGATAAAAGATAAAAAAACAACAACACTTTCTCCACGCAATGTAGCAACGCTATTACATGATCTGATACCAGATACTGTATCAAATCAGGTCACTTCCGCAGAACCCAGCTTGAGTGACGATCATAGCCCAAGCCCATCCAATAACAACAAAACTTCAAAACCTAGACGCCGATGCCACTGACAGCAAAAATCTACTTCAAACTCTCATCCAAGATCGCGACACCCATCGCCACTGCCCCAAATAAGAAGCAACAAAAGAACGCACCCGCCATAGGGGGGCGGGGGAGAATCACATAGTCAATGAGGCAAACCTGTGGATGCGAGACGGGATGATTTCCAAAGCTGGTGATGCGCAAGGCCGGGCAAGAGACGGAGAATGCCGGGGCAAGAACAGGAGTAGAATGAACTGCAAGCGAGAGATTGTGGAGGAGATGGAGTGCAGAGACAGAAGGAGGAGAAGGAGAAGAAGGAGGAGAGATCAAGCAGGCTGCTAGGGGATGCAGCGAGCTCTTGTTGCTTCTGTCTTTCTTCAGGGTGCGTTGCGAGCTGGCAGTTGTACCCCGCGACCCGAATCATAACTGTACATCTGCGGGCCAAGCGATGTTTCATCCATCCCACCGGGTGTTGCAACACTACGCTCGCGGCACTCCCGCATCCGATCCCCTCGGAAGTTGCATCATCTGGATCTGGATCCTTCCGCCATCGCCCCGACTTGCCCGCGTCCCGCTCCTGCCTCGTCGCCGTGACATCGTCGTCGTCGTTGTCGTCCGTCTGCTACGTGCGAATTCACGGCAATTTTCTCAGGGCAATTTTCCTGTCGAAAATATTGGGTTGAAATCCTTGTTGCGAATTTCGCCTGCGGTTGGAGGGATGATCGATTGTGGAACAACGAAGCTGTTGATCGAACAATGAGGTTTCTACTTCGATGAATCTGGTGCAAACCCTAAAAGTAGCCATGGCACGAAAAAGCTTCGGATGTTCCCGAAAGTTGACAACAACTAAACTTTCGGTGGACCCTTCTTTTTTTATTTTAGATATTGTCGAACATCTTCTATTTCATTTTTTTTTATCATTTTATTCAAGCTTATAATATTTGGACAAATATGTTCCCTTTTTCCTTCAAAATACTCTCAAAGACATTTCATTATTATTGTTATTGTTATTATATTTGTAGCATCAAATTTAAGGTAACACTAATCAATTTTAGTTTTGGGTTATATAGCACAAATATATATATATATATATATATATATAAGAAATATCCTTTATTTCTGGGCATAAAAAAAAAATGATACAGGATAAAATAATGTATGTAAAAAGGAAATATACATTTTTACAATGTGAAAGAATATATGTTTTTAGTGAATTTGACATACTGTTTTAGTTATTTTATTGAGTGATAATTCTATTACATTGTATATTTACATGCATATGTATACACGACAAGTATATGGAAGAAGGATTTTATGCTGCTAAAAAAGTTAATTTAAGGATAAATCAATGACCACAAGTTGATTTTCAAGGTGATTAAACTTTTTTAAGATGAAAATGATTCAAAAGTTCAGAAATGTCTGTGCATGGGGTACAATGAAAGAGTATTATGCATATGGTACAATTCCTAAATCACAACCATATATCTTCCAAATCACTTGGTCCAATCACTTCTCATTATGTCAGAATTTTATGTTGCTCAAGCCATTTATGCCAATAAATGTTAGATGCTATTCTAAGGTAATTGTGGTTTCTTTTTAGATGTATGAGGCAATTGTGATAGTCCAAGAGCTTTCATGAATGATATTAAAAACTTCAGTGGATCCACTCTTGCATTTTTGTGAGTTGATTAAAAGGTTCAGACTTTTCTAATATTTATACAGCCACAGGATTACTACCAAAGTTTCATGTGATGTAACACCTAATTTTAAAATATATAATTTTATATAAATTTCAATAGTCAAATTAAAAAAAAAAAAAACCACACACACAGATGATAAAAATTATCATTCTTATCAAATTCATAAATATTATAGAAAAAAAAAACGTTTGTGTATGGTAATCATTTACTCATGAACTGCTACAGCAAATAAAAACAAAGGATTATTAATGTCAGCACTCACATGGTATCGTTTTCTCGAATGGGGACGAAGAGGGTATCAACGTAGAATAGTGTATCAGTAAATGAGCACGGTATAGATAGATACGGGTATCAAAGTGGTCAGTTATCGTATTTCCTGTCGTGAACTCGATCATCGTCTCCATTCTTCTTCTTCTTCTTCTTCTGCTTCTCCGTTGCTTGGGTCATTGACATTCGTCGCGTCGTGCCCGTCCTTCGGCATCAGTTTTTTTTTTTTTTTTTTTTTTTTTTTGTAGGGTTAGGATCGAAGCCGTGTGGTCGTAGGGAGGAAGAGAGAGACAAGGCAATCGGGGGCGGAAGGATTACGGGAGCCATGGCAGACTCTGCAGAAGGAGCACCGATTACCACCTCGGCCGTGTTGATGTCAGCGTCGAAGTACATTAACTCCAAGTGTAGCGCCCACAACCGAGCGTTTCTAGATTGCAAGAAGAACGATCCCAATCCCGAGAAATGCTTGCAGCAGGGTCAAAATGTTACGCGGTGTGTCATCTCTTTGTAAGTTCCATCCATGACTCTCAAAACCCTAATGCCTTTGGTGATGTAGGGTTAGCTGCAATGGTCGTAGTCGATGAATCTGTAGCGATGTTTGGTTGAATTTCTAAGAGAATACTCTACATAGGTATTATTTCTTGCTACTGGCAGGTACTTATGGGTTTATTACAGGTTGAGGGAGCTGAATACCAAGTGCCCCAAGGCCATGGAGTCCTACACGAAGTGTATGGACTACTATAGCAACGAGTTTGAGCTTTGCCGCAAGGAGCAACGAGAATTCGAATCATGCTGCCCTCTATAGGTCATCTAGTTTCTTTGTAGATGTTGACGGATCTTCCCCTTTGACCGATTCCCTAGGGCGGATCACTTATGTTGATCTCTTTGGTACTCAAGGCTCAGGAGCAGTTCGAATTGATACTGCTCGTGAAACTAAGTTGCAAGAGACCCTCTGTCATCGGACTCGGTGATTTCAGTTTATGAAGGTTTCTTCCCATTTCCACCACGGCGGACATTTCCTAGTTTGTCAGTGGATGTTTAGTTTCACCTACAGCGGATTGATCAGAAAGAACGATCATGCTGCAATAATGGTGCCTGACGAGACATTATGTGAAGCATGTTCCGAAGTTTTAGTCCAAGCATTTTAGTTGCATCTGGAGGTTGGGTGATTCATTCTGCAGGTGTATTGGGAGATGAATTGTGGTGTACTGGAACCATTGCTGGCAGCACGATAGATGGGGCAGGCGCTTCTATTCATTAGCATCTCCCCTGGTCCTCTGTATTCCGCCTGTGAAGGCGCTCTGCTGGAATGCAACACATGTACTAGAGCTTCTCCACTGTTGAATCTGTGTGTACATGTCATGTACGGGTATTACTAGAGATGGTCGAAGCTCACGGAGTAGAATGTGGAGGAGATGGGCTTGCCTTCAACGCGAAGGTCGATCAGATTCAAGGCTTGAGGCTTTCCACTTCCACTCGGCCTGCTTGTTCATGATGCTCGGTGTCACTTCCAATTTTTTGTCGAAATGTGCACAGTTTTTTTCAAGCATAGAGTGCATGTTTAATGATGTCTACAAAATTGGAGCTTCCACTTAAATTGAAAATGCATTCAAAATCTAAAATTTTGCGTTTTTTAATAATGTAACCATTTAACTGGGATAATTTGTGCCCTTACCTGATCGCAAGTAAGTGGTTTTGCCAGCATTAAAAAATGGAGGAGAATGTTCGCCACATGAATCGAAATTTATTTTCAAGAACATAATCTTTGAAGAAAAGAATCAATTATAGATTTATGAAGAGTAGAAACACCAATGACAATGTGGTTAGGTTACTATGTTTGAAGTTGTGATTTTTAAATATATATGTAGTGATTGCTGAAACTGAGTATGAAATCAGTAACTCTACCAATCAGTTACTCTGCCAATAGTAAATCATCATGAAATCAGTCTCTCTACCAATAGTAATTCTACTAATAGCAACTCTAGCCATTTGTAAATTGTTTCAATACTAACCAAATCAGTTGGTGATTCAAGTTCTACTTTAGATAACCAGTGTGGCTACCAAATTGTGAGTTTAGCAATGTAAGATAGATTGCAAAAGATGTGTACCAAAATGATTTATCTCTAAAACTTAGTTATGCCCACTTTTGGATTACAATGACATGATGCAATTTAAGCTACAAATCTAATATGCTCAAGTGGTTTTTTGAGTGTGATTGAGAGTATGGGCATATTCTTGGCCTTCATACACATAATTGTATCCATCATTAGTGCACATTATCTATACAAACTAAGCAAAATAGTTTCATTGAGGATTCTCTTTGTTGCTGATAGGAAGCTGGTAACAATAGCAACTTTTTAAAAGTTGAAGAAAGGTGAAAATACTAGAAATGTTGCTAAATACTTATAGGTGTCTCAAAGTTGGGTTGTGTAGTTTTATAAGCAACATTTGCTTGATTTGAGTGAAGTCAATCATAGTTTTAGTAGCAAGCCAAGGGTGTGTAGTGCAATTGGTCGAAGGACTTGAGTGAGAGAAATTACTATAGGTGGCAAGGAAATTACACATAAAGTTAGAAATTACTTGAGAGATAATCTTCATGTTAGTATGAATGAAAGTATTGTGAGGAGAGTGTTATTATAAATGTAAAGTGAAGCAATAGAAATCAAAGCTCATACTTCATTAAATTAAGATAAGATTAGAATTTTCTAAATATCATTATTACTAGATTGATGATGATTGGAATTGTGTAATATGATTTGATAAAACAAAAGTCAATTTCTTTTGCTCCAATATTTGTAGTTGGTGTTGATTTTCCAACCAATATAATACAAGTGCTAGAATGGTGCAACAAACAATCAAGTTTGGAGGTAGAAGAGTGATGATGTGAGGTTATATGACTCCAATGGCCTTGGTATGATGTATAGAATTGAAAGAAGAATAGAACTATACATGTAAAGAGAGATTTTAGAGTGCAAATTGATTCATAAAGTGCATGTAAACAATTAAAATCCTACAAATTTAATTTTTCAATAAGACAATGACCTCAAGTATATATCCAAAATGTGTATTGTTAGCTCATTTCACAAGAATTTACTCTTTTGTAGTGGTTGACACAATCACCAAACTTGAATCTAATTGAACATATGTGGACAACTTTAAAACGTCAATCAAATCAATATAAAATACCTTCCAAAGAAATGTTAGAATTATGGAAGTGTATTGAGGATTATTGGACTTCAATTACTCCCAATAAGTGTATAGAAACAATCATAAGCACATTAGAGTTGTGATAGATATTGAGGACAAATCGACATATTTTTAAATTTGTTTTAGCTAGTATAAGTTTAACTAAGTTTTGGACCTAATTTCATTTAGTTTCTCTTATATATGCATACTTGTGTGTAATAGACTTCTAGCATTGTAAGAGTATGATTTATTGGAATGATAATCTTATGCAATTTATGGTTTTATTTTTGTTACATTCAATTTACCTACATTGTATGTTAAATTTAACTAAGTTGATTTCATACTTAGTTTTGGCAATCACCATATATATATATATATATATATATATATAGATGTAGTGAAAGAGTATTGTTAATATGACTATTACCACAACTTATCATCTATTTAGTATATTTTTATAGTTTTTTATTCAGATAAAAAATTATTAATATTTTTTATATATTTTAAATTTAAATTATATGGAAAATAAATTTAATTTTATTAAAAAAATAATTAAAAGATAATAAGATAAGTTGTAATGATAATAGCAAAAATAATAGTAAAGATAGTAGTAGTATATTGTAGATGGCAAAATGTGGTGGCAATAATAAATTTGTGATGGCATTAGTAATATCATATATATATATATATATATATATATGAAGTCATCAATATCAATAATAATAATAATAATAATGCACATTGTATTGGATTCCAAAAAGATTTGTATATAAAAACTTGTATGTGTGGAAGTAGAGAAGAATACATATCAATGCTATATTATTTTATTATGAATTTTAAAATATTAAAAAATATAAATATTTTAATTAAATTTATAATTAAATGAAACAAACATTAACATTTTTTTATGTTTATAAGTTTTTTTGACTTTTGAATTATTATTAGTATTAAAATGTGAAGATTATAAAAATGACAGGCTAAAAGAATGTTAAAATCCAACTAGATATCATTGTAATATTAAAACTAATTTAATCAAAGGATGTATACAAGGAATTATTAAACTGATCTAAGTAGTTACTAAATTGATCTATCCAGCATCATTGATTAAGGATCTGATTATTTTTTTGTCGATTTTTGATCAATATGAATGAAGAATATTTTGGTGATGGTTAGGATGGATGGATCAATTTAATAAATATTTGAGTCAATTTACTAATTCTCTATATACAAGAATTATTGAATTTAAAAAGGTTTTAAAGTAGAAAAATTTAAAATAATTTAATCTAAAGAAAAAAATTATAATAAAAAATAGTCTTTAATTTTTTTTAATCAATCATTTTAAAAGATGTATTGTAAAAGGATAGTATTCAATAAAAAATATTATTTATAATAACATAAATTTGTTGTTGAATCTACTAATTAATCAAGGCATTAGTTTTTTTTGGTAGAAATAAGTGTTATATGTTGCTTCTTATTTGACCAAACAATTTGAAGAAGATAAAATCAATCAAACAATGTTATTTTAACTTGTAAAATTTTAATAAGAATTTATATAATCAAGAATAAATTATGTTAATAAAAAATCATAGTATAAAATACATATATCAACAAAGAAAAAGAAAAAGAAAAAGAAAAAGAATATATATATATATATATATATATATATCATTAGAAGCTATGAATAAAAAATAATATTAATTTAAAAAACTAATATTATAATATTTTAAAAAGTTTAAAAATTTATAGACAAACATGGTTTATTTATTCATTTATTTTATTTTAGAAAAATAAAAAATACAATGAAGTCAATAATATATATATATATATATATATATTGTCATGTGGTATTTTTAAAGAATTGGTAGTAGTATTGTAGGTACAAAAATCACTTGCATTCAATTTTGTTTGCACATGTAATAGCTACTGATTGCAAAGTGGACCAGACTTCTCATGGAATCTTTATGCCAATACACACAGTAACTCTTTCATAATATGCAATTCTAGTTGGAAATCTTGTGGTTAGTATGCTTGTCTTAGCCTAATAAGACACACTCTCTGCCTTCTCAAGTATGGGCGTTGAATACATGCAGACTAGGCACAAAAAAATTTCCATTTTTTGTCCATCCAATTGAAGGTTGATTGACTGAAATCCGAGTACTTGCAGCCAAGTTAACTTTGACAATGGCATTTTATCATGGTATAATGTCAAAGTGGAGATTGACACAATTTGTTAGACTTCTTTTCATCATCCTAATTAAGATATAATTTTCAAGCAATTCTGTGTATTTGAAAATTACTAAATCTTAGTAAGTTAAACGTGATCAAGGCTACAAAGGTCAACATATTTGTGGATTTGTGAGAGACCTTCTTCCATTTATCTATTGAATAAAGCACATTAGAACTCATGCTAAAACCTAGTGATTGCATAGTAAATAATTATTGATCACCAATGATTGCAAAACAATTGATAGTATTGCATGATTCTTTGAGTCTCACAAACAACATACCATTAGAATTACTTGTCATTCTGACATGTCCTTAAGTTGATCAAGTGATCAATAAAATTATTTTTTGATTAAGTTCAACATGATATTAGAAAGGAATTAACATCCCTCTAATAAACATTGTTGTTAGGATAATATCTTTTAATAGATATCAACAAATCTCTTTGATAAAGCTTTGATCTCAAAAAAAAATCAATAGTATTTGTTACTGCCTTTGTACAAACTAGCTAGCATATTAAATAAACAATTAATGATTACTATGAACAAGGATAGCAAGTTAGAGGGAGCTACAAATTACAATGTATAGAAACTTAAGATGAGGGTATTATTGAAAAGAGAGAATATATGGGACTTAATAGAAAAGAAGATAATTTTGATATTATTTTCAACTATAATAGAGGCATCTACATTCATAATAGAACAATTTAAAATCTATAAACTTAAGGCTTAGGTCTTAATTGTGATGGCAATAAAAGACAAGTTTATAGAAATAGTTTTTGAAATTGAAGAGCTTGGAGTTACTTGGCAAGCTTTGAAGAATATTTTTGAGGCTAATAATTCTTTTCAAATACTATTGCTATCAATACATTTGTATAATATGTGCATGTTAGAAGGATGTTTGATTAAAGAATATCTATAAACTATTAGGAATTTAAAGAATAATTTAGCTACTATGGATCATAAGGTTGCAAATGAAACTTTGGTATAGCTTACTCTAAATAACCTTTCTTCTAGTTATGAGGAAATAATTTAGGAGTAATAATATTAGGTAAATTTTTGATCTTTGCAATAATCAATTCAAAGTTGCTAAATGAATCTTATTGCCTTAAATTACACAAAAAATGCTTGGAAGATAAAAAAAAACTATACTGAGATAATTTCAACAAAATCAAATTCATCGACAATATCGCAACTATAATTATGACATTAACTAGTATGGACACCATAATACACACAAAAATGGTAGTTATTTGATATGAATTTAGATTTAGAGAAGCAACTATGGATATTAAAGAAGGTTATTGTATAACAATCAACAAAAACGAAATTAGTACTTTGTTTGTGAGTGACCAAACGACCCTGCTCAACTGTATTACAACAAATATATGACATATAAAGAAGAAAGCAATGTTAATTTATTGACAAATGAAGATCACAAGATATCCAATGCAAGTGAAGATGTCTATATTGCACTTACAAAAATATCACAAAAAATTGATAACAATAAACCATGATATCTTGACTTCATAGCAACATGCCTTGTGATAAGTAACAAAAAAAAAAAAAAAAAGAAAAAAAAAAATTAGACTCATATACACCAAAAAAACAAGACATTGTAATAATTGCTCAAGAAAAGAAATAATTTATAGAAGGAACCAGAAGTACCAAAATTTGTATCAATGATAGAAAAATAAAACTCAATAAGATTCTTTATATGCATTGTTTAAAAAAAATTAATTTTGATAGGTTGCTTAGTAGAATCTAAAATACTGATTGCATTATCTAATGATTAATGCTAAATCATGAAAAAAAAAAAAAAAAAAAAAAAAAACCTAACAATAGGAAGGAAACGAGATCAAAAAAATGGATTATACAAAATCAACAATGTATTTTCAATACAAGTTGATACTACAATATAAACCACTAAAAATATAATTGTTAATGATTTGAAATAAGCTAAGGCATTAGAGGCTTCAGCACCTCAACTATGACAACCTCCGTCATTTTTCACTAAATGATAAGGTTGAAGGTCTACCTTGCATTAAAGTTATGAAAGTCACTTGCAAATAGTGCTTAGCCAAAAAATAATATTGTAGAAGGTTTTTGAAGAAATCAAGTACCAGACTAATAAGATTTTTAGGATTACTATACGTTGATTTAGTTGGATTGGTGAAGACCTTCTCGCTAAATTATTTGCAATACTTCACAATTTTTATTGATGATTTTTCAAATTAATCTTCTATATTTTTTATACCTAAAAAATTAAAAATTCTATAAGTATTTATTCAATTAAAATAACTCATTGAGAATAAAATTGGACATAAAATTAACAAATTATGAATACATTGCATGGAAAAATTTATATCACTCTTATTTTAATTTTTTTTTAGAAGAATAGTATCAAGTGGTAGCAAACTTAGTCTCACATCTTAATACAAAATAGAGTCACAAAGAGAAGAAATAGAATAATTTTTGAGAGAGCTTGATGCATACTTGTAGAGTGCAAGCTCACTCACTACTTATGGTACAAACTAATTGGCACTGCTAACTTCTTGGTCAATAGAAGTTCTATGGTTGCTAATTATGGTGTTATTCCATATGAATGATATTATCAAAGTAAACTTGATGTAAGTCTTTTGAAAATATTTGATTGCCTTTGTTTGTTTACATATCAAAGATGAATAGAAAAAAATTAGATAACAAGTCAAAAAAATATTTATTCATAAGATTAGATGAACAAACAAATGTGATCGGCTATATGATATGTCAACTTATAAGATTATATTATTAAAGGGCATTATATGCAATGAAATAGAGTTGGCTATTACCATATTATAAAGATATATGCAAAAACAAATCATGTGATTCTACTGCTTGTAGGAAATAATGATCAAGAAAAAAGTCAACATCTTTATTAAGTTGATAATTATAATATGTCAATATCAAAAAAAATAAAATCTTTTTTCTAAAAAAAAATATATATAATATTTACTAAAAAATCTAGATAATATTAATATTCTATTCAAGATTGAAGATCTAGCACAAGACTAAAAAATTATTTAACTTTTTTGGCAAAATACTTTGAACTATAAGACTTTGAATAAGTTGTTGAAAATTACAATTAAAAATTTTCTATACATGATGAAGTGGATTCTATCACAAAAAATAGAACTTGGATAACTATTGATCTACTAAAAGGAGAAAATATTATGGTATTGAAATGGATTTTTAAAGTCAAACCAAAAAATAGTTATAAGTTAGATAAGCTAAAACCAAGACTAGTTCCAAGAGGTTTTGAACAAACTCAAGGAGTTGATTATTTTGATACTTATGCCATAGTTCTCAAATGAAGTAGTATTAAATCAATCTTTGCACTTACAACAAAAAAAATTGGAATTTACAATAGCTAGATATAAAAACTACGTTCTTAAATAAAATGTTAGACAAAGAAGTATATATGTAGATTTTTCATAGCTTTCAAATGACAATACAATAAGAAAAAGTCTCCAAATTGATTTGTATTATATATGGACTAAAACAAGTTCCATGTGCATGGTCCTTATGAATTACTTTTCAAATTGTAAATGAAGGTTTGATAAAAAAAATATAAAAAATTATTATCTATACTACTCCATCAATGACGGCCTATATACAATTATGTTACTTTATGTAGATGATCTCATTATTATGGGAGATAATATTAAAAAAAAATACAATAGCTAATATCTCAACTCATACAATCCTTCAAGATGAATAAACTTAAAAAAACCATTGTATATCTTGAAGTAGAAATAAAATAGAATTCCTTTGGAATATGACCGCATCAAAAAAAGTATGCCAACAGATTGTTCCATAGATTTGATATAATGAATTACAACTTAATAAAAACTTCCATGAGCTCTACTATGCATCTTCAATTAAATATGAATCAACCATCAATTCATAAAACAAATTATCAATCATTGATTGGTGGACTTCTACATGCATCAATAATATCATGACCTGATATTTGTTTTATTGTAAATATTTTGAGTCAATACAATCAACATCTACAAGAAAGGAAATTAATTTCACTATTATTTTTTTATATTATCTCAAAGGAATTATTGATTTTGGTAATTTTTTTTGCAAGACAATAATCTCATCCTTGTAAGTTATATTGATATTGATTACAAAATGGATGTTGATACCAAACACCCAATATTGGGCTTCATACACAAATTAGGATAAGTCCCAATAGAATGGTCAAGCAAATGAGAAACAACTATTGCATTAAGCATTTTTGAGGCTGAATATATGGTACTTTTTGAAGTTGTAAAGAATGCAATTCATCAACTACGTGTATTATAAGAATTACAAATCAATAGAATTAATCTATTATTAGTAACATCTAGAATTATATAAAGCTAGTTGACAATCTTGTAATACATTTTTGCACTAAGCATATGGAGATTCAATATTACTTTATTTGAGAAAAGAGCCTTGCAAGAGGTGTTAAAGTAGATTACATATCTACTTTGGAGCAACAAGCAGACGTCTCAATTAAACCATTAGACACATTCAAGTACTATTGAATGCATGAATCAATCAATATATTACCAATACCTATCTTAGTCTATTTCCTCATATAATCCTCTACAAAACCTCTATCTCTGAAGCTGTTGAATTTGGCTTCTTTGAAACCAATTACATGGACCTTACACTCTTTCCACAAAATCCTACCGGGACAAAGTAATTTTTTTGAAACTTTACACACCAACAAATAATATCTAGAGATGTTGAGAATCCTTCAATCGTTTATTCATCCAGAGGGAGCGTTGTTCTTGTTTTACCTCTCATTGAAAATATGTACAAGCTCTCCAACAAATTTGCAGCAAATGAAAAGTCACCCACGTAGGCTCGACACATTGCCAGCACTATCATCCATAAACCTAGCAGAAACAACTTCCACTAAAACAAAATATCAAGACTATTCAATCAAGGCAAAACCAACAGATAAGGAATGAAGAAGTGAAAAATTGCTTACAGCGTACAACTCTTCAACATCATGCTGTCAACGGTTCATTGTTACAAAAAACACTAAGTTCCAATGCTGGAGGGAGTGTTGAATAAAGCACATTGGAACTCACGCTGAAACCTAGTTACCGTAGAGTAAATAACCGTCGATCACCAAAGATTGCGGAATAACTGATAGTGATAGTGCCGTATGACTCTTTAAGTGTCCCAAACAACATACCATTAGAATTACTCGTCGTTCTAAGTTGATCAAGTGCTCAATAAAATTATCTATTGATTGAGTTCAACATCATCACTTCCAGATTATACTCTGATGGAGCTATTGGTCAAAAGCTGTATGAAAAGTTTGTTCTCATTAATTGCAAATCGTTGATTTTAAGTTCAAGCATCCACCACTTTTTTGATGATGAGGAGATTATACCCGTTCCTCAGAATGTAGAGAGCCATCTAGCGCCGAGATAGTTCAAGGTTATTCTAGACTGACATCCAGTCGGTGTTTACGCAACTTTCTCGAGGCTCTTTCTTTACATTGTTCGATAGGTTCCTTGTGTAGTGTGGCGTGGTTGTAGGTATGTTTTGGAATTTGGAGCACTTCTGGGCACATTCTCTTGGTGATTCATCCGGTTGATATCACTGTGAGATGAATTAACCTATCACAGAGCCAAGTTATATTTTTGCAAATCTCTGAGACAATTCATTGTTGAATTTGGTGCTTGTGTAGTAAGTGTGCTTTGGAACTCTCAGAAAAGGATGCTAACCCGGGTACAGTGACGCACTGGATTAGGGTTGCCTGTCCGAGAGTTGTGCATGGCCTGAGGATAGAATGTACACGACTATAATTACACTTCTCGACAAAACTGAGTTGAGGTTAGTTCATGTCTATCCGAAGATTAATCTAAGAAATCGATAAACACCGCTCTAATTAATTGGCCAGGTGCGCTTCACGTCTAATAGCGTGTAATGTGTGATACCATTGCCATTTATTGATTGTTCCTCGTGCCCAAATACCGGCACACCTCTCTAAGTATTTGCACATCCTCTTTTAATTAGCAGCAGTCTATTTTTCCTACCCTATTCTGCATGTTTGAAACTAAGTACTCGGGCTCCTACACTTTGTTTCTGTTATCATGGAACAATATGTATCTTCTTGTCCGTTTGCATATGAACACTTCGCTCTGATGCTGCAGATTGTGAGAATGCATGTTCGAAGTCCAGGTTCTCTAACAAACCAAAAGAAATGCAATTTGCTGCAGCATGTGGAAGGTTATGACGATGGACTGTTGTTCAACTGCTGTCTCTGTGGTCTGTCTAAGTCCCAAATAGCGAAGCACGGAAGCGAGGATGCGTTGTTCTTTGCTACCGCAGGATCACTAGCCTCGCCTTTCTGCCATTGTTTCTCACATCATTGCTTTCTGTCTCGGATCTTATCTCACCCTGAAATACAATAATCTGGGACTGTTGCATGCCAAGGGCAACCCAAGAAAGTTCCTCGATGTTTTTTTGAAGCTTGACACCTGTCGAGCAAGTTCCGATTGTATTGCTTAAGTACCAAACACTGAGTCGAGACACTGGCTGTAATAGCAAGGCTGGAACCTGTTGCAGCCGGGTGTGAGCGCAGCGATTTTGCAGAAGTCTTTAATGTGCTCACTACGTTTATCACGGTCAAAATAATGACTGGCTTCTGAAGTTGGACGTAATTGTGGCCACCGCAGCAGTGCACAAACCTCTTACCACCATTGTCCGGTACATAGCAAAGCATTCTGACATGGAGGTTCAAATTTTTGTCGCCCAACAGACTCAACGTCAGAGATACGATCACGAGGTTGTGGGATGAAAGAGTTGCATATTTTGGGGGTGTCTATGTGCAAGAAGCAGTAGGAATCTCTCATCTGTTGGCTGTTGGTGGGAGTCTGCGAAAAGGCTTTGCTGAGGGAAATCAACGAGAAATCCATCACAACAGCAGCGTCTCGTGTAGAAGTGTAGTATCCAAGGTTCAGAGTGCAAATGAGTTGGTGCAGCTTGGCGAGTAGCAGCGGCGTTCGAGGTTGGAGACAGTTGCAGGCGAGCGATGAGCTCATCATCAAGACATGCCATTAGTGGGCTACTTCGAAAATGAATGGCTTGTCTTGTGGATCTGAGGCATTGGGTGAAATATGGGCAAGGGTTATGAAGATGGGCGAGGAGTAAATGGAATCAGGCGGAGCAACGTGGGGATGCCTGGGTGGCAGAGCAGCTAGATCCAGATGTTACCCATGCCTTCAGTGGAGTTTTCGAAGCCCAGGGTTGGCACCAAAAGTAACGGCTTGACAGCTTGTCGGACTTGTGCATGGGGAGCTCAAGCACCGCGGATTTATGCATGGGGTGCTGTGCGCGTTGGGGTCACGCTACCGTGCTTGGAACCTGAGGGTTACAACCTGATGTTAAAACACGGTAGCAGGGCGTGTTGGTGCTCCTGGTAAAGCTGAGGGAACCATTGCTACCTATTTTAGTTGCAGAGAAGCCCATGGATTGAGGGTGGGCATAATACTTGAGTTGCGCTTGAGATATTCCAAAACCGCAATTCCATAACCGGGACTCGAACCCGGGTCGCCTGGGTGAAAGCCAGGTATCCTAACCATCTAGACTATTATGGATGATGAAAACCATTCGATTTTTATTAATTTATAGTAATAGAAAATGGGTACCATGTGCTTTAGTTAAAATGCTTTTTTCTAAGTCTTTGTGGGTTTGAGGTTATGCTTCAAGTGTTGAGGAGTAGAAATGAAGAAGAGTATTTTTTTGCAAAACTTCATTGATGTTTAAGTGTCAAGGAGATTGTTCATCTCAGATAATGGGCTTATCAGCCGTTTGTTTCTACTCTTTCATACTTGCATAATGAAGTCAGTATTGACTTTTGTTTCTTTCACAGTTTAGATCAGATGTCGTGTTTAAAAGAGGATAGTAATTTATTTATTTATTTATTTATTTATTTACTTATTGACAACAGCGAGTCTGCAATGAGGCGGATATGAGAGAAGGGGATTGCAACAACGGCAGGGTCGGTGGAGATTGCTCTGGATAGAGATATTGGCTTGATCGCGTCGTTGTTTCTTGTGGACCGCAACCTGTCATCGCGAATCCGTATCACCGACACGGCTACTGCTCCAAGCCACTGTACCAGAGAGTTATCAGGGTGTTTCCAGAGAAGTTGTGCAGCAGCCCGCTACCAGAAACTCACGTCGCCGTCGGAGGGAGTCGAATCTTGACCCCTAAGATTGCAGAGACCGTTGAAGACGTACCGAGTCTTGTCAGAATATATTAGTATGCTTGTAATTATGTTACGTTATGCATTACTAATGTATAATTAATAGTAGTTAAACAATATAAAGTATCTAATTTTTCAAGTAAAATTGAAAGATATTTTCAATGAATGTTTTATGTAAAACATTTGTAAAAATAGTATTTGTAAAAATAGAATAGCACAAACTTATAGTTATTATTCTAGTATATAGAAGAAAAAAAATCCTAATACATAACTAGGTGAACTTGTATTTGAAATTCAAATTATTTAACATAATAGTTATCTAAGATTCTTCGATTTGAAAAATACATGTATTTAAAATCTCTCTTGCTCTCTCTACGTATATATATATATATATATATATATATACAACTGAAACTGAGATAATTATGTTATTAAAACGATACATATAAATGAATTTAGATAGTAAAAAAACTAAATCAACTAGAATAAATACTCAGAATTACCTCAAGTAATATGTTAACGATATGTAAGTTGTAATTTGTATCATCAAATTGTGATGAATTTTATATCATTATTTTAATCATTTTTTGTCACAGTTCATCAATTAGTATGTTTAACATGTTTATTTTTTATTTTTATTTTTTATAGTCATTTTATTTTCGAATATAGAAAGATATAAATTCTCTCTCTCTCTCTCTCTCTCTCTCTCTCTCTCTTCCCCCCCCCCTCCCAGTAAAATACTTTAAAAACTACTTGTCGATTTCAACAAGTTTGACGGAAGAGAAAAAAAAATAAAAATCTTTAAGATCAGGTCCAAAAAATACATTTGCAGCAGACTACATCTGATCCTTCAACAGTAATCCACAGTTTACCCACCATAAGCATCCAACAAAACACATGAAAACTAAATTGAAGGTCCAATTCTGAAACTTAGGTTTATGTAAAATGTAAACTCAAAATCCTAAACAGAATCAAAAGAGAAACTTGATGAAAGCTGAAAAGGAGAAGATTGGGATTGGCATTAGAGGACTTGAAGTGGGGAAGATGGAAATTAAAGGGTTGGAAGTAGGAATACAGACAAGGAGAACCAGAGATAAAAAGAGAGCTACAACCAAAGCGAGGCGCTAGCGTTCCACCGTGCCGACAAGTCAGTTCTCCCGTGGCCACCCGCTATCGCCAGTGATGGAATCCCTACAGGAACCGGGGAAACCGGTTGAGTTGCGGAGCTCGGCGGGAGGTTCCGAGGAGGGGAAAAGGCGCCGAAGCGGGAGGCGTCGAAGCACCGTACGACGTCCACAATCCCACAGCACGCCCTCAATCGGGACAGCCATGTTCGACCCGGAGCGATGGCCATCGCCATCTTCCTCATCCCTCTCTACATTGGGTTTCTGATCGTGCTCTGCTCGGCACCGCTGGCGGATTCTCGCGCTGTCTTCTTCGCAGGTAAGGTCTTCTCGCTACTCCTGCATCTGCGATGTTGTGGGATTTTACGGTGCGTTTTTGGGTTTTTGCGTTATTTTATTTTCTTTTATTTTTTGGCTTTAGACAAGTTACACTGGTCGCTCCTGAGGGAGTCTAGCTGTAGCGACATCGTGAAAGCGGCTGATGACTTGCGGTGGGCGTAGCATGGCCTAGATCTCGCATTCTAGCTTCTGGATTTCGAGAAGGTTGTTGTATTTAGGGTGGCGCTGGGCGACCCGCGTTTTCGTCTCTCAGTTTGGACGTGCAAGCTGGAAGAAAGTCCGGCAGTTGGTGTTGGGATGTTGCTTTCTGGGCGTTTTTCTGCTAGGTTTTCAATGCATAGTTTGCGAAAGCACCTGGAACCTGGTTCTGTCTTACGAATTTCGTTGTGATGATAGAACTTGAGTACTTGAAGCCCTTCCATGAGTTAGGCGATATTTGGTCGTGTAGCTGAAAACAGTAGAATTCGTCAGGGCTGAATGTTGACATAATGTTCTGGAGGTATGCGGGACATTTTCACATTACGAGCTGGAAGTCAGAGTGAATGTGACCAGGCCTCCGAGTGAGTTTCTCGTGTCTATATTCATTTGCCCTCCTAGTTGGGTTGTGTGATTTTTCATTTCCAAGGTGTACACAAGTTGAACCTGTCGCCCAAAGGTTTGCGAAAGGGCTTTTGGAAAGTCAAGAGAAGTTGCCGTGCTTATTTAAGCGTGTACGCTCCATCAAGTTTATACACGCACCATCAGCACAAACTAGTGTTGTATCCGCATTTCCGATCATGGCAGGCTATATGGTTAATGAACGAATACATGTCGTAGAGTGAGGAGTAAAAAGCTTGTGAGCTAGTCTTAATCATTTTTTTTGGTTGGTTGAGATGGATCTCCAGCAAAATACGAGGCTTCAGTAGCCGATGAATTCGGAATCGACGAAGGGCCCGCGACATTTACGATGCAAGACCACTTGAATTTTTTGGTGAGTAAGTCGACCTTGCGGTTTGGTAACTATCCTTCCCGAGCAGATCGTGATGCAATTCGTGTTCTGATAACATTCTGAGTCTTGTGGAGGCAGAGATTGCGTAGCCAAGAATGCGCAGATGTGAGATTTGGCTCATGTGTTTACTGTGTGACACAGTTCTCCACCACGCAGTGCAGAGTTGGGTCTCTGGTATTCTCAGGCTCATGGAGCACCGAGTTTGACCGTAAAGAGTTATCCATAAATCTGGTCATTGTAACCTTTTGCAGCTGGTGTTGGATTGTTCAGTGTGGCAATGGCACCACAAGTTGAGCGAATGTTTCTGTTTTGTAGACACGTGTCTGGAATGTGTTGCATTAGGATTGGATGTCACTACCAACTGAGTACTTGAGCCGTACAGTGACGTGAGATGGGGTCATGGAATGTGCAGAGAGAAAGGGAATTGGAGAGACGAAGGACAAGTGGCACGGCAACAGGGTCAATGGAAGCATCACATCGCTTGGAATCAGACGAAGAGGACGAGCCCCTCTCTGAGGAGGATTACGATGACAGCCAAGCCAACGAGCGCTTACACTTTTCTCCATTCACGTAATGTGATGCTGTAGAATACAGAAGTGTACCGAAAGGTTCAGTAAAGTGGTGGTCAAGCGCCATGAAACCAAATTCTCTCGGGTTCACAGGAATCGAGAGCATGTACAGAAACCCCCCAGAAACGTCATGTCATGAAGTTGTGCCTGTTGTGGGTGCAAATGTAATTAGTGTTCAGAGATCAACTAATCGCACTGCAACTATGATTTGTCTGCTGGATTGGTGTTCCATCATGACCGTGTTGTAAGAATGGGCTCGGAGTCCTTGTTGAGAACATGTTTTATCAGTGTTACCAGTGTGTGCATCTTTGCTGCAAAGCATGAGCGCACAGACTGAGAACTTTAAACTTGCTGAAACATCTTGCTATTCTCTGGGATTTTTTTTAATATTGCCCCGTCGAATTGTCACAATATTCTCTTCAAAGTGCTCGAATGGTGTTATCGATCTTGGCATTGTCACAAGTTTTGTCCATGAGCAAGTGAGGTGGACAAAATCTACAAAAAATATCGAACTCGAGAGCTGGGTAGCAGCCAGTTGGAATCCGAAGGAGGCATGTTAATGCGGAATCCCCATATTCGCAGACAAGACGTTGAGATAAGGGCAAGGTATTTTGCTTGCAGAGCGCCTAATAATCCAAAAAAGGACGCACGACGTCATGCCGCAGACGGATCTTTCGGCCAGACATCCGCAGCGGGGGCAGCTGTCCCATGTTTAGAGGTTTTGGGCATTACATGAACGCTGGTTATGAGCGACGCGGGGACACTGTTGTTGCTTGCCATGCGATGAACGGTTTTTAGATTTTCCGTCTCCATGTGGCATATAAGCTGGAGCAGGGAGAGGAAAGTTTCAAAGTGTGAGTTCAGTTCACCGAGAAGGATAAGGTGGTTGGAGACCTGTACAGATCAGCGTCATACGGTATTGTGCGCTTCAAAGTCTACAACCCTGACTACTTGTATATTCCAGCTTGGTTGTGTATTCTATTCCTTTTGGGTACCAGTCCTTCCTGCTTTATCTGCTACTTTTTAATATTGGTTTAGGACGCGAATGGAAGAGTTGGCGTGTGGCCTATAACCGCTCAAGCTTGGGTTCAGCGGGAGGCGACCTTTGGCATCCAGTGCTCTGGTGGGGCATCGGTGTAACGAAGAACCACCGGACCAGAGCTGGAGCTATTTCGAGGACAGTAGTTGTCTGGCGGTGTTGTTGGTTGCGATCGAAGGATGCTTATGGGTACACCCTGGAGCTCCTCTACCATGCCTGCAAATCTCTGGTTATCCCTCAGGTGTTGATTCCCTCTCTCGTCTACTCCATCATGATGCTTGATAGATAATGCCGACGTTGCTTTTGCCTTTTGCGTCGCTCGTAAACACCCCCCTTCCTTAGCGAAGCCAGTATGTCTTAGGCAACTCTGTGCTAGCTTTCGAATGCTGCAGGGTTTTATTCTCGTCATTGGAGACGGGAAATGTTCCTTAGTTGTATTCATTCCTCCCACCCCACAACCATATCGTCCTCATTGTGCCCTGCATGGGTTTTGTCGGTAAAATGCCGAGCAGGCAGTTTGTGGAGTTGTAAGCCCTTCGGCAGTTGTTGAGCATGGGATTCGGTGCTATCAGCGAACCAGGCAGGTACACATGAGTGTCTGTGTATGTTTTAGCGCCTGTTAGTACAAGTTTCGGCCTTTGAATAAAAATAGTTAAGTGTTAAAAAGGTTTTTGTTTTTCGTTTTTCGTTTTTTCCTTTGAGGTTTTTTTGGGGTTTGTGTATAGAGGTTAGCCCTTATTGGTCTCGTGCTAAAGGGCCACGTTGGAAGAACGTGATGCAAAAGAGTGTGAGTATGGCCAGAGCAGTTGTGTTTTATTAGGTTTTGCGCTGCGGAAAAAAACTACAAATTTCGTTCCTGGTTGTAGTTCACTCCGTCGAGTGGTGGAGGAAGCCGGAGATCACGAGTATGCAAGGGACTCCTCTGCAAGTCGATAGAAACACGGCCAGTCGTTGCAATCCTTACTGGATCGTAGCGAATTCTTGAAATGTTCGATGGGAACTCTCGGCAATAATTTGCCCTAAACATAGTGAGTCTTGGCAATCCCGGTAATCGATGTCGGAGTGGTCTCTCTGGTATCAATCGTGTAGACTATTCAGATTTGAGGGCGAAGTCGGAAACCTGAACCCCGGAAGGGGTGGATACCACTGAACCTTTCAGCAGGGTAGTTTCTGTTTGCGGTAGCTGAAGAGCCCGCCGCCTTGACTTTGGTTTTACGCTGTTTTAGGGTATGAGTCGAGCGGATGGTTTGATACTGGGTGGTGATGTTGGGCATTTTTTGGAAATTATGCTGCAATTATGTGTTCACCTCGTTGACAAAAATCATGCAGAGATTCTCCTTGATGAAGTGATTGTCTCACCTATCGGCAAATTGAGACGATAAAACTCGGAAAGAGGTTCATTTCCCACTGAGATGGACGACACCAATTCAGTGTACGTGGGTGGGCTGTCATATGGAAGCACCGAAGAGACGTTAAAAAGATCTTTCATGCAGTTCGGCGAGGTGGTTTCTGTGAAGATTGTGCATGATCGCGACAGTGGCGAGTCTCGCGGCTTCGGGTTCGTCACTTTCTCCAACCCCAGAGCGGCCACAGTGGCCATCCAGGATATGGACGGGAGGCAGATTGAAGGCCGCACCATACGTGTGAACGAGGTGCGCAAGAACCACAAAATGTTAGGGGCCCGAGATCGGGACTTTAGAGTCCGGGACCTTAGAGACCGCAATCGACGGCGAGAATCGCCGCCATCTCGTGAGAGGATTCACCACCGCACCAGATCCCCACCCTTACAACGCAGCCGATCGCAGACGCCAATGCGAGGTAGTCCAACGAATAGAGGCAGCAGCCCAAACACGAGTCCAAGGTACCAATATCGGGAGCGCAAGGAAGGCGAACGTGAGGGCGGAATCTCGCCGCAAAGCTCCGAGGGCGGCGGACGGAAGGATGTGAATTCTAGTGCCAAGCAGATAAGCTCCCGCATCGCCACCGACAATGACGACGACGAACTGAGTCGGTTGAGAGAAGAGCTTGATGCTGCTAGAGAGATTCGGCGGAGCCTGGAGGAAAAAGTAAATAGCCTAAAGAGCGTGGTGGAGAAGTCCGACGTCACTATAGCTGCTCTGAAATCCAAATCACAGAAACTGGAGGAGTCTTTGTCGAGTGCCCAGCATCTGGCCGCTCAGCGTCAGCACCAGCTCAAGAGGCTACAAACAAGCGTCTTTCACTTTAAGCTTGCTACCGAGCGGCTCTCTACCACCGAGAAGGAGATGAAGACTCTGGCTACATTGACAGCTCTGGAGGTGGAGAATGATCACGCGAGAACTACCACGGATTCCGTCCATGCAAACGGTTACACTGCAGGGGATGAGCTAAACCACCAGAGCGAGGAGAATCACAACTACACTGCCTAATCTTTCCCATGGTTAGGTTGACAAGGTTGTTGGAGCATGCTCTTATGGACATTCTCATCTCAATTGGGAGACGACGTATCTGCAGCATTCATCGCACTGCTCGCCCAAGCATGGCACAGGGCACAACGAGGAGCCTGGCACAATGAAGTATAAACCAACTTAGCTGAGCGTCCTTACTTCCACTGCTTTTTGTCCTCTTTCCCTTTCCTTTGGTGCGGTGCTGACACAAATGAGGAGTCTTGGTGTCTTGTCATGTCGTCTTGGTTGGGGTGGTTCCTTCACAGTTGTGGAACGGGCACAATCCTCCTTCCTGCTCCTAATCTCTTCCACAACCGGGTAGAGTGATCAGGTACTTGCAGTAATTGACTCTATGGAGTTGAGTCTCTTTTGAATTACATGATCAATTCCCCTACCAATGTATATTTCAGCGGCGATGGCTATGGTTCTTCCAGTCACAGGGATGGGTGTCCTTGTTCACGACCCAACTTTCCTTTTTGACACTCTGGTAGGTAGTAGTTATGGCAGTAGCAGTAGTATTCACGCAAGGATTCGAGATTCCAGATTAGTGCAAGGTTGGGTATTGCTACATCATGGGTTGGGAGTTGGAATCTCAATAATTTATGAAATACTTAAGTATGGATCGTGTCATGGAGTTACTGAGTCAGATTTGATGTTGAAGAAACGCGTATATTCAGATTTGAAAACGGCGTCACAAGTAGATATCAATTTCAGGGTTTCAGAGCTAGGTTGCTTGTGTGTTGAATTGCCTCCCCTGTGTCCTTGGCAGAGATTGCAGCGTTGAATTGAAAATACCGTGCATATTTCTTGCCAATAATTGAAGCCAAGGGCTACTGCTTGCTTGTACAAATTGGTTTTGTAATTATTGACCACAAATTGCTGTTCGAATGTCATTTTTGAAATCGTAAGTAGGAGGAAGGATACGATGGTAGTGTTGAGCACTGTTTTCTGGTTAAATCAAATCAAGTGGGTTGAACTACTGTAATTCTCCATCGAACTGCCATCCCAGGTGAAAGATTAGACTAAGTTAAGTCACATTCTATTTCGAGAGGTGATACAAGGTTAACCAACAGACCCCATCATTTGTACACAGCAGCACGTGGTCAACATTAAAGTCATTTTGGAGCACACGTCGAATCTGAATTTTGACTTCACGCGAATGACGACTGGATGATTACTGGAATGTAGTCGCCAAAACCCCATGGGAAAGTTGGAGATTAACTTTGTGTATTTTTTCTATTTCTTGAGAGACGTGACAGTGAAAATTCGATTGTGATTATTGTAGGTATTCTCATACTGATGCCGCTTGGTAGCACGACACCACAGCCCATGCCCCAAATATTTTGCAGTTGCTAGCTTTATCACGACCCTGCCGTGACGAGTTGGGAGGCTTCTGCTTCTATCCTCACAACGTTCCAAATCCATAGTTTTGAGATCAATAAGCACTTGATTTAAGAACCTGGGAAATAGGCAAGAAAAGCTACCAAAGTGGCCTGGTATAGAATCGATTTGTCTGGTTGAATGACCACACAATACACTTTGCCTTGTATTTGTTCAGTAACATACATTAACATTCATTAACATATGAGTACTGGAAATAATAATACCTCCGAAATAACATTAATGTGTGTCGCAATACAGAAAAGCTGCACAGTAAAAATACAAAGAAATATGCAGCACAACAGGGCATCATAAGCTACTGGCTCTCAGAAGAGAAGAAATCTATGTTCGCTACCTGAAGTATGGTATTTTGTGAGCTTGATGTCTCTCGCGCTGACAAGCAACGAAACCTAAACACAGAACACGGGAACATCTTCTCTGGATCAACTACGTAGCGTTTTTTCAGATACCGGTCGTTGAATTGTTCGCCTTGTGAATCCAGGAGCTTCCATATCTGTGCGACATTATCACTCCCATCAGCCAGCCCCTCAACCACCCATGCCATAGGATCTCTCTCTGGGCAATCATTGGCAGAAGTGACCTGATAGCCCACAAGAGTGGCGGAAGTCCCTGCTGGCAGTCTATATTCTATCCATCCACCAGTAGCACCCTTTGGATCCAGCCACTTCGTACCCCTCAAACCATCAAACGCAGCAGATGCAACTTCAAATGGAAGTTCCTCGCCACTTGCACATGCATTACCACCGCTCAGCCTTCTCCATTTGGAGAAGACTGTCAGGTCAACATTAACAACCCCCTTCTTTTCGAGTTCTTGGCTGAGATTTTCCAATTGCTCGATGGCAACTGGGAGGGCTAAAGCAGTTTTGACGGGATTCCCTTCAAGCAGGAGTAATACACGATCATCATCCTGTATCTCTCTCTTTAAACCAACAGCTTGAAGTAAGGGTAGTGAGCACTCATCCTTCAACCAAGCATGCTTCCCAAACAGCTCCCGTCGCATTTTGTAGGGTTGCGATTGAAGTTTTAGGAGCACTCTACGCCAGAGACTTATCACTTTAGTTGGATCTGTGGATCTAAGAAGATCCCCAAGGGCCATGAGAATGTCCCTGACGTGTTCATCGGCACAAGTCCGAACTGGGACAGAGAGAGAAGTAGAAACATTTCCAGCACTCCCAACTTCTCCACGCAGCATTCGCCACTGCTGTGACCCACTCTGCCGACCTGGCAATGGAGACGGAGAGGATGAAATTTCCATTACTGAAGCTTGTAGTTCCTCCTTCTCCTGACTGTCACGTATTTGCAACGTCCTCAATTCATGGGTAGGCTTCGAAATCCGGGCACGAGCTGTCAAAGCAGACACCACGTCTTGCACCACAGCCTCAGTCGCTTCAGTTCGTCGGGACAATACCTCACTCCACTTTCGAGTATACCGCTTCGTGACGTCGTATACACCGTCATTTGCAAGAGCGAAGACGTAATTGAGCTTCTTATTCCAACCACTCTCATACAGTAAAGGTTTGTCAAAGGCTGCCTCACATGGATCAAAATGCATCCATCGATTGTGGACTGTAGAAAAACATTCTGTCCACACATGGTCCGTAAAATCTAGCACAAGGCGAGCTTGATAACCAAAGGCTCGACAGTACAAAGTAAAACAATTAGCCCACTCACCACACCTCCCAGACCTTGTCTCAAGCAGCTTCATTGCATCGCTGTAACGAGGGAATCTGATCTCCCTCTGACAACCGCTGCACCTAAACAACTCTACCCGGCTGGCGCCATACCTTAGTTCCTCAGCAGTAGAGTTGCCCCTCCCAATCATAAAAGACTTTGAACCACAATCTGTACAGTCAGGCTGATTAACCCATTTAAAAGACTTTTTAAACCATAAAAGAAGCTGCACTAATATGGCAATATCTTTCTCAGAATCGCTTACAATTGATTTCCCTTCCTTCGCCAAAGCTACCAGTGCTTTCTCTTCAAGCTCATCTATTGATACAGAAGACCTTGCAGCATTCTGACGAGCAAGGTCTTCGTATTGCATGACTTGCTCGTAGTATGATTGGAGCTTGGCCTCCAATGTTGCTCGACCACGTGAACTCTGATCTACCCTTTGCTGTCGTTGAGCAAATAATGCATCCTCTTCTGCTTGTAGAGCTCGAGCTAAATCTTCATCACTTTGAACAGAAAGTGGGATGGTGACAATTGAAGAAGGCTGTACAACAGGCACAGGTACTCGCTTTTCACCAAGCGACTTCAGAGTAAATATGCCATCTTGTCCTTCAACTAGGGTTAATGACTGTAGTCCACTCACTAACTCCGTAAGATTTGGAAGGTTTTGATTCTCAGGAAGAACATTAGTAACAGAGAAGAGCTGTACCTTGAGAATATCCTCCCCCTCATCACTCTCATAGTCCACAGTATGAGATTGCCCGTCATGAACAACCAATAGTTTGTGAAAACCCATATCTTCTCACAACAAGGGAAAATAGGCCAAACGGGAGCGGATACAGATGCGGCTTAAAAATGTTGCTTTCCGCCTGACGGTATAGTTAAGAATGAACTTGCCTAACCTGCAGCAGAAACAAATCTGAATCAGTTGGTGAAACAGTATGTACACTCCCGAGGTCCAGATACGATTAAACGATTCCAACGACCTGTCTGTCTCCATGACAAAAAATTAGACCAGGTCTTGAAATCTCTGAATCATTAATAGTGGTAATAGGGAGGATATCTGATGCTCGCTTTAGAGTGTCTCTGACGTGCGTACGAGGCTAGTGCTGAGTGTTCTCATTGATCGATAACGTCCTGAGTGGTGAAATATCAACACGATCTGCCAGATCTCAATTTCATCCCAACATTCTTCCACAAGTCATCTATGAACTCTTGAAAGGTACCAAGACATCTTCGATACTCATTCTATGACAACGTCGGTCTTAATCTGAAATGGAGATTAGAGGAAGCGATACGTTATACACTTTCAGCTGCCTAAAGTGTAGAAGTTACAGAACGCGGTGTACATACAGTTTGTGGATTAGTTAATAGCTCATTGAACGAATGCAAAAACATATCCGATTACAACTCCGTGAGAATGAAAAATCAATTGCAGCAACCTCAAATCTCCTCAATACATCAAATTTGGTGAGTCTCCACTACGTAGCGAAGAAGTCCACGATGAAAAATACTTGTAACAATATTAACAATCCACAAGCAATTCATATTCCGAGACAAATCCATAGCGAAAAACCCAAAGAATGATAGTGGAGTATAATCAGAGTTACATTGAAAAAATTCACGTAAGGAGGTTTCTTACTTTACGTGGATTTTTCCAGCATAACACAACCCTAAAAACTTCTGAGTTTACCATCATAATCTACCCTATGTATTATTACTTCTTGTTCTCTTTCACGTCCGACAAGATTACCCTTCTAATGCCCCAATGCAAGCATACGAAATTGCACTTAAAAAGCATTTTTTCGGCTCGTTTGCAATGAATCAAAGCATCGTGGAACCGCATACACTCCGACAACCGAACCAAGGAGAAATTGAAACACAAAGATCCCTTACGAAATCAGACAAGTCACCGTATTAGGGCAAAGCAAGTGCAAAGACGCAAGGATCATCCTCGAAACAGAGACACAGGATTTTGTTCGGATTTTGATCGGATTAGTGGGTTTTCAGAAGAAATGAAGAGAAGGAAAGGCAGGAAAATCGGTTACCAGAATGAATTCTGTAAAAACTGGTGACGAGACGCGTGACGAAGCTGGCTCTTCAGTGCCAGTGGCAATCGAAGAATGTGTGGGAGGGATCGGATACTCGACATGGAACAATCGGTAGGCCATCGCTACGAAGGCCTTAGCTCCCAAAGCCACTCTCTGTAGCAATCGGTTCAAGGCAATTGCTCAGCTCTTTCCGTGCCGACTGCGCCCAGTCCCGTGCCCTGGACACCCTGGCATCTACTCACGCTGATCGGGTACGTGTTGTATGCTTTCAACCCTGATCATATCTTCTGAGAATATAGATTTGGGTCATCTACCGCTTCCTTTTTGGAATCTGCAACTGCACACTTGCATTTTGTTATGGCATGTTGGAAGAGGAGAATGGGTTTTCAAATCAACTTCAAAAAATGGTAGAAGCAAAGGGAGTTTTTTATTTGGGCATTTTTTGAAGTTTGTGGTGGACAGTTTAAGGTGAAGGAAATGAGATGTAAGTGTTGAATAAATGGCTTTTTATACTTAGAAGCCAACTTTCAAAGATCATGGTTCAAAATCCTTATTAAGATTCCTTAATCAATGAAAAAAAAAAAAAAAAAAAAAACCTTCTTTAAGAATTTTTTATCTTTGATATACTATAAAGTAGGAAGATGTTATGAAATAAACCAAATCATTCTTTTATAACAAGTTAAATAATATTAATTCAAATATTAAGTATAAAATAGTATTTTTTAAAATTTTATTTTAAGCATTTTTTGATACAATTTTTTCTAAAAACTACTTTAAAATGAATCTAATAGAAATCATAAGTGATAACACTATTCATGTCATGTAGATTTTTTATTTATTTTTATTTATTTTTATTTATTTTTATATATATTATTTGTTCTTATTCAAGTTATAAGATTTATTTTTTTTTACTAAAAAAGTAACTTAAGAAGTCTTCTTGATTTTAACTAATTACAGTATTTATAAGTTTTGGCTTCTCATCTTGTCATTTAAATATAAAGTATCTTTAAACCATATTTCAAAGCATAAAAGATGTATTTAGATAACTAAGTGTTTAGGACTAGAACTTAAAGAATGTAATTAAATAAATAAGATTTGTTTCAAAGAAAGATGGTATGAAAGAGATTAGAAAGTATATATATTAAAAAAAAAACTAAAATAACCATTGTCAAAGACAAAAAAAACTATAGACTCTTGAAATTAGACTAAAAGTAAAAAAGACTTCACAACAATAAAAAAAGACTTCACTTATGCTTCTATACATACTATCTAATTATTACAAACATTCAACAAGAAGATTCTAAAAATATTTTTAGAATATTCTATTAGATTATAAATGATTTAAAAAGATTCTAAAAAGATTCTTAAAAGATTCATAAAATATTTTAAAAATATTTTAATAGATTTTAGAAAGTTCTTAAAAGATTAAGGAAATTATCCAAGAAGCTTCTTTGGATTGCTTCATCTTCAAGCAACATGAAAACTTCTTGTGAAGCTTTTTAAAGTTGTTTCATCTTCAAGTAATATGAAAACTTCTTGAAAAACTTTTTAATACCTAATATATATAGGAGTTGAAGTTGAGGGGATCATTAATCTCAATACCACATGTTTTGGGGCTTTAACTCATCTTCTTGGAGTTGAACTTGTACTCATCTATTTTTAATAGAAGAGTTGCGAGTTGATTTAGTTAGAACCTTGCTTAGAGAACAAGCTTCATCTTGGTATACTCCTTCATTTGAAAAGAGATCTCTAATCTTAAGCAACTTTGAACCTTTCTTAGAAGCATTTGTGGAAGCATTTTGAGAACATAACAAGGCTCAATGGACAACAACAAAGATTCGTTCATTTCTTCAAAGGTCATGCTTTACATCTTTTATGCTTTTGATTTTAGGCAATTGGCTTATAATATCCATTGAGATAAATAAGTTCTTATGAATTAATTCTATTGGGGACTAAAGAATGGTATAAAAGACCTATTACTATCATTTTTTGATCTTCAAACATTCAATGAAGTTATCAACGAAGCTATGAAGTCCAATAATCAATTATTTCAACGTTGTTAAGATCAACACTTGTAGAATTTGACAAAATAATATATTAAAAACTTGTATTTTGTTGCTTCAACAAATATATTACTTCTATACTTTGGAGCTAAGGATATGGAAATTGATGGAATATAGTTCAAACCTCTTATAATAAAAGAGAAGAAGTGTCAATTTTAATAAGGCCTATACTTATATTATTGTGAAGAAGATAAAAAATCTAAGATTTCTCCAAAAAAATAATATACAATAGGACTAGGAGTGTGTTTATTTTAAAAAAAAATGAAGAAATCCAATCACAATAGGGATCATACAGCTAGATATTTTAATACCTCAAATTCATCAAGGTTCATCTTTTTTTGTCCAATTTGCTTGTTGTTTTATTATACCTTTATTTCTTGGTCCAAAAAAATTTCAAAGAAATACCTTATAAGATTTAAGAGTATCTGTTTATTTTTTAGATAAAGAATTTCTCAAACTTCATAAAATTCTTCTAATATAGAAGTCAAAACTTGTACATGTAGAAGTAATAGATGGTCGATCTTTTGCCAAGGACATTAACTAGAAGGAGATGCATAAACTTTGGAAATCCATATTAAAAGAAAAGTGACAAAATAACGATAAGTAATATGTAAGTTAAAAAGAAACTTTAATGACTATTGCCAAAAGACAAGAAAATTAGAGACTTTTAAATCTAGACTAGAAGGAAGAAAAGAATTGATAAGAATGAAGAGGGCTTCACTCTTGCCTCTATATATATTATCTAACTAAAAGCTATGTGACAATGTTTTATAGGACTTCTAATATGTGTTGACTTTGCAAGACACATGCCTTAGCTTATAAGGCAAGTTTTCTACGTGTGGGCTACATAGTCAGCTTGTTCTTCAAGCTATCAATATGTGTGGTACATGGCCAACTTATTGACCACGTTTTTAACCTAAAAAATTAATTATAGACACCTATAAAGTCAAAGAAGCTTCTAAGAAGCTATTAAAGAAGATATTATGGAATTAATTTATTTTTACCTATTTTTATCTAAATCATATAGATAATTATTGGTTTACATATGTATATCCATGACATTACCCTCCCTTTTAGGAACAAGTTCCATGAAGAGCAGTCTTCATATATTGAAGAAATCTAAGATGTAGCAAATTATGTTTGCCACATACTCCAATCTTTGTTCTCTTCGAAGATAGTTGATAGGCCCTCTTAGCTATTGATAGTGTGCCATATTAAGGCAAAAAGACCACCCTATTATTTAGTCATTTTTGAGGGCTTTGTAACTTCAAATAAAACATTTGGAATATTGTGAAGAGTTGTTTCTACTTCTAATAAAATCACCAAACATTGAGAGTCTCTTCTAATGTTGAGATACCAAACACGTTGTATCTTACCATCTATTTAAAGAAGAATAGGTTGTTCTTAAGGATCTTCATCTCAATTTTGTCATCTTGAAGGTTGTGACAATCACAATGTCTCATTATTCTTCATCTTGATTTACATGGATGTTATCGATGAAAAGCCTCCACCACTTTTGTTGCATTTGTAAGATTCTTTATTAGCTTCCATGTGCATTTACTAATATCATATCCATGCCAATGGACAAGATATTCTAATTTATTTTGATGCCACCTTGAGTCTAAAACCTCATCCACTTCGAATTCTTGATTATTTTCCACTTTTATAAGAGGAAGTAGAACTTGTCTTCTTCTTGATATGTTCATAGTCTTGTATGGTTCAAGAAGAGACACATGGAAGACATGATGGATCTTCATTGCCTCTAGTAGATGTAATTTATAAGCAATTGGATTGATTTGTCCACAAATAGGAAAAGGTTCAAGCTTGCAATAGTCCAACTTATCACAAGGATGAGTAGTCTTGATATTATGATGAAGCAACCATATCTTGTCACTTACATTGAATTGTGGTTGTTCTTTTTGATAGGCATCTGCATTAGTCTTTTGTGGTTCTTGAGCTTCTTTTAATTGCACCTTCATTATTGCATGTAGGTCAAATAAACAATTTACTAAACCTTTGTTGTAGGATTATCAACTTCTGAAAAGTCAAAAGTACGAAGTTGTGGATGGTAACCATAATTGATAAAGAAAAGTATTTGTTGCATAGAAGTATGCATTGTATTATTATAAATAAACTCTATTAATGGCAAGAGGATTCTCTAATCATCTTCTTGATAATTGATAGTATACTTTAAGTATTGCTCCAAAACTTAGTTCATACGTTTTTGTAATACGTAAAGTCTTGCTCGAGAATGCTCCAGGCACCTGATTGTAGAAGATAGAATGAAAATTGTAACAAAAAAATCTTAATTCTAATAGAATACTAACAATGTTCTAATTAGACCATAATAATGCCAAGCAAGCTTTAATCAAATTCAAAGAAACCTCAAAGAAATTTCAAAGAAACAATAAAAAATCTTAAAGAAATATTAGAATGATCTCAAATATCTCTCAAATACATCTCAATTCAATCTTAATTTAATCCTAGTTAAAATCCTATTAGATTTTATTCAAACTTTAGGCCAAAATTAATTAAATCTTAAATCCTAAATAAACCCAAATAAAATCCTAAATCCTAAATCAAATCCTAACAAAATCCTAATCAAATCCTAATCAAATCTTAAATCCTAAACCAAACCCTAAATAAATCCTAAACCATAAACCAAATTCTAAACAAATCCTAAATAAATCCTAAACCATAAACCAAATTCTAAACAAATCCTAAACCAAACTCCAAACAAATCCTAAATCAAATTCTAAATCTTAAACCAAATCCTAACCAAACTCCAAACCCTAACCAAAATCCAAATCTTAAATCAAATCCTAACCAAATCATAATCCTAAATCAAATCCTAACCAAATCCTAAACCAAATCCTAAATCCTAAATTAAATCCTAACCAAAATCTAAATCCTAAATCAAATCTTAAACCTAAACCAAACCCTGACCAAAACTTGAATCCTAAACTAAATTCCAATTAAAACTTAAATCAAATCCTAATCAAATCCTTAACCAAATCCTAACCAAATCCTAAACCAAATCCTAAATCTTAAATCAATCCCTAATCAAATCCTAGTAATTCCTATAATAGATTTAAACCTCAATAACT